CAGTGCTGTCTGCTGACTCCGGTTACCTGCACATTCACCTCTCTTTTGACAGATGAGCAGTTTGGTTGGTTTTCATAGCAATGTGAACACCATTTTCAGCTAGGAAATCTGTTCTGATAAAGCAGTGTATCAACTAAGACTGTAGGGGGTGTGGTGAGGTGGGAATAGCACAATCTAATCTTATCATCCAAACCCTATCTTTTATAACTGTATTTCCCACTTCTCTTCTGACCTGAGATGCTAGGTGAACAAGTTCATTAAAAAATAACTAGTCTATCCATTAACGAGGAAGCACTGGAAGCCAAAGGCGGGCCTTTACACACATGAAGATGAATGAGCCCATAAGAAAGCCATGGATAAACTTAAAACGCCAAACGTTAATACATGGGTTTTGTCATGGTTAAATGTGAGTTCAGGAGCTCAGATGTAACATTCCGTGAGATGGAGTCTAAGTCATTGGTCTCCACAGACAGGTGACTGCTCAATGCAATCCAGAAGACAACAGAAAAAAGCCAAAATGTATGTTCACACTCTTATGCTATCTTCTTCAAATTTCCAACTCAGCACACTTTTAAAAACATCTGGAAATATTCAAGCAATAGTACATAATATATGATGACAATTAGTAATAAATAATTTATGCACACACAATTTATACTACCTTCTTTAATCCATCATCACAAAAGCGTAAAGATTACCAGTTGAGATTCCCATTGTTGATGGAGCTTGTATTTATGACTAGAGCTAAAAATCCAGGAAAGATAAACGAAATTCACTTTGGTCTACTACTTGCCTAAGTGTGAGAGTTCCTGGCCAAGTTGGTCACAGGATTCTGAAGTTGAGTCATAAGACCACTGAAGCCTCAATGATTGAACCAGGGAAAGTGACAGACAGTAAGATCAGCTGGGAGAAGCAGGCACTGGGCAATGCTAATTTACAAGAGAATAGGTGATGTTTTATAGAACACTTGCAGGTCTGGCCTGAGAGAGTCACAGTGAAAGTCACTTACCAAATGACTAACACCTGAAGGAATTGGAGACCCACCATTCACCTAAGGACACAGGCTTAGTGTGCCCGTTAGTCCTCTCCTGAGCAACACTAGTAAGCCTCACAGTAAGGAGAGACACAAGCCAGGTTGCAGTGAGGATGGGAGACTAAGGTCTGGCTATCAGGGGGAAATCAGTCAAAGGAAAGGTAAGAGCCCTGGCATAAACTTCCCCCATGATCCTGCAGAGTCAATTCTACGTAGGCAAATAGCTAATCCATGGCTAATTCACACACATATATTCTATAATAAAAGATGGCCCTTAAGATACTGAGTTTCCTGTTCCCCTTAAATGAGAAGTTGCCATGCAAGAAAAAAAATTGAAAAAGCAAATTATGGTATTTTAACATATATGCTTTCTTAGTTATAAGAGCCTAAAGTTTACACAAGTTGTAAAAGTAAGTTGACTTTCCTTGGACAGTTTGAAATGGCTAAAGTTCTATCTCAGTTTAAATGATCCCTCTTTCTAATGCAGCCTACAAGTACTAAGTTTTTAAGTCCCCCGTGGCCCTTGTTGGCTCACATTCAATGAGAAAGGCTGTGGGCATTGCTAAGAACAAAGCATCCCCTATCACTGACCACTGGGCCATTGAGAACATTTGCCAATGTTTCATTGGAGACAGGCATTTGTGATGAGGTCCAGTAACAATAATTCCCTAAGGGTATAGTCAAAACATGACCCAAAGAATGGTGCGGAGCTCTCAAGGTAGAGTGGACACTACATTCCTGCCTACCTGCCCTCACAAAAAGAAGACAACCTGAAACTTCTCTGGAAAGTAAAACCGGGTCCTATCCTCAACAGGCTCGGCTTGTAGCTTCTCCTTCATAGTCTGTAAGAAACAACAAGCCACCATTTCGGATAGCTTTGTCCCCAAATGTCTGAAGCTCTCTCAATTCTGAGTGTTCAAATTATGCCCTCAACCCAAAAATTTGACAAGATCAAACAACCAGAGCTGGTTAAACGTCTGACTTTAGGTAGCTTCTTCCAAGACAGTTAGAATTCTAGCTTGTTTCTACGTCTTTTGCCCCTTCCAACTTTCAGACAACAGTCACCAGAAGCCACTATTGAAGTCACCCTCAGGGTCACCTTCCAAGTTCAAGATTGTTACCCTCTTCCTTAATCCAACAACAGCTGCTTCTCAGTGGTCAAGTTAAATCCATTTAGTTCATGACCAACTTGTAGATCTTCTGGGGGTGGAAAAAACTTAAAATAATTCTCATTTTTTAGAACAACTGGTATTAATAATAATAATAACTGGCATACATCCATAAGCTATTAGGAGCCTCAGTTCCCAGCCTTGCATTATTCATGTGCTCAAACTGTCATAAAGGTAGCAAATTCTCTGTACAACCAGGCTGGAAAAGTCCCTGCCCTCAAATACATTGGTATGCACACTTCTGAGGCTTGGTTCTATTTAACATTTTCATGAGCAACCTGCTTTAAAGGAACAGAGAGCAAGCTCATTAAGTTCCTAGATGGAAGAGATGACCGGAACATTAGTGAACAGGATTAGAATTCCCCCCAGCCCTTGCTAAATTAGCCAAACTGTCAGAATCAAGTATGTTCACTGGGACAGGCAGGGAAAATCAAGCTGTCCAGAGGCAAGCTGAGTAGACGCAAGGTAGGGGGAAGATGGACGGAAAGGAATGTGAATGCAGAAATAGACTCCTAGTGGGAACTGAACTAGCCTCTGCTGCCCACCGGGAATGCTGCACCTCTAAAATTATATCCCAGTCCCCATTCTATACAGAATGGAAGTAGAAAGCATTCCCGTAGGGTTTCCAAGAAGGGCCGGGAGTCTTTCTTTCTCACCAGCATTTAGCTTTGGGTGCCTGGGTCTACTTCATTAGCCTGGCTTTAGGCTCATTTCATCACCCTATTTTACTTTCCCTTACTACAAACTACATTGATTCCGACAGTAAAAGCATTCATTGGCAGAACGCATCATCACAGCCTCCTGCAGAACTGTCTCTTCCTCCTTGATTATTTTGACTTGTTGTTGTTGTTGTTTGAGACAGGGTCTCACTATGTAGCTCTGGCTGGCCTGGAACTCTCTATGAAGAAACTAGCCTAGAACTCACAGAGATCTTCCTGTCTCTGCCTCTGAGTGCTGGAATTAAAGGCAGGTACCGCCATGTCTGACTACTTTGGCTCTTGTTCAACACTTCCAACTAAACTTCTACTATAAGAAACTTAATAAATGGTTCCTAAACATGTATGGTTCTAACCCTAAAAAGAAAAAAACTAAATGGAGTCTCAAGCTGCTAATTTTATACACGGAATTTACAAAGTTTTCCTGCTAAGCGGCAAAGAGCCCAAATTTGGGTCTGTGCTACAGCTACCCACTGCTGATACTGTACAAGTGTTCCAGTACAACATTCATGGACAAAGTGGGTCTGGATCTTGATTGGGCCAGGGTTTCCAACTAGGTTCAGTTCTGGAATCTTCAGCACTCAGAGTCTTATTAGTTATCTTTTTCAACCTGTTCATACCTGTAAGAACCAGGACCCAGAATATAAGATGATTTTTGTGCAAGTTCACAAGACACTTAAGCCTGTATTAAAACCTTCTAATTAAGTCTGGTGGTGGTGTTGCATGCCTTTAATTCCAGCACTCAGGAGGCAGAGACAAGCAGATCTCTGTGAGTTTGGGGCCAGCCTGGTCTACATAGTGAGTTTCAGAACAACCAGAGCTACATGTGAGATCCTGTCTAGAAAAAATAAATAAAACTGAAACCTTCAAACTAGAAAAGGTTATCCCAACTCCAGAGCCAATGCTCTTTTCTCTGATCATCATCAGGCTCTTCTAGAAAGTTCTGAGAATCCCTGGTTATCTCTGAGGTAGCAGAACTTCTTTAAGAAGTAATGTCTGCTACCATGTCTTAGTACAATATGTAATGCATAGTTCATGTGGCATCCCTCACTAGGCAGAGTCAAGACAAGCCTGTAATAAAGACTTGGGATGGGGATGTCTCTATCCTGTGAACGTCAGGTTTCCAGATAAGCAGAGAGGCAGCCTTGAACAGTTTAGAAAGGATAGTTTTTCACCGAGTTCAAAGGTCATAGTTGCTTAGTTTAACCGAAGTTAAAGTTGCATTAAAATCTTCACAAACCAAAAGGAATCATGCAGGGAGAAGCTGTTCTTCATCTCCTGTGCAAATGGAAGGAGCAAGACTGGGTTGTAGATTGACTAGCAGGACAAACTGCCTGAGGTCCTTGCTGAAGGAACTTGAGGTCAGCAAAGGCAATAAAATCCTCTTGGAAACCAGATCTGAGAGGGACATCTTCTGGGCAGCTCTGGATACAGACCAAAGGTGGTAACTCTTAAGGGAAGCTGTGCCTCGGAATCTTGTTCTGAGCCAAGAGGAACACCCTGAGTCATTACAACTAATGAGAACCGAATAGCATCCTTCAGAGTGCTATGAAGCGAAACACACTAAATGGGTGCTCAGATTGGGGATAATGTTTGTTCAGATTCCAAAGGAGACTCCCCAATGGCAATCCCTCCTGCTGATGATCATCTGTTGAAATGGATGAGAACTCAATGTCTTGGGGGCAGAAGCTGGTAGCGAGTTTGAAATGTGCATGTGACATGCCTGTGCCAACCCTCAGCAGAGGCCAAGAGGATGCTGGACTTTGTGTCTTCAGTACTGATCAGGAATTTGAGGACCTGGTAGCTTAGGCCAAGGGTTTTTTTGTTTTGTTTTGTTTGTTTTATATTTTTTATGAGAAGTCTCATTTTTTACTACCTTTGGTAAAGATAAATTGCAATGTGCTTTATGTAACTAATTAAAATGGTGCAATCTGTTCAGATATCATTTCTGGGCAGTACATTTCATAAAAAGATACCCTCGAAGATTAGCTGCCTCCAACCGTAACTTTTCCAAAGTCCATTTTTCCAAATACCAAACTCCCGGCGATCATAATTTCTCATTATTGTGATTTCTTTCCCCAGATGATCCAGGAGCCTGTACCTCGTGCGCTGCAGGATACTACATGTAAGTCCAGCCCTCTTTGTTTCTGCAGTTTAAGCATTACTGACTTAATCCTATCTCCAGTGGTTGAAGCACGGCGTCCCTGCAGCCTGAAGCAACTGTGGGCTTTTAATGGCTGAGTTTTGGATTTAGTGGTAAGAGTCCAGATGTTTTCTTGCCTTGAAAGGAAGCCTTCCCTTTCTTGATCCTGGAAGTCATCCATCTTGACACTGGTGTCTAGGAATCTTGCCATGGTTCACCAACATTCAGACCTTGCTTGTCAAGGCTTTAAGAATATGTTTGCCTTCAAGAAAGCTGCTTCTCAATGCCCGCATGGGGACTTTGTCCCTAACTAGAATCAGATGTTCCAAGGGAAGCCAGGTGAGACACTCACCTCTTAATCGCCCGCTGGGTGATGAGAGACATGGACCACTAGCTAAAATGAAATGCAGATAAACATCAGACTAATATTCCCCACTACAAATCTATAAAAGCCAAGTCCATGACTTTCGACATCACCTCCTGTCCTAGCTGCTTTCCCATTCCATCTGTATCACTGTGCAAGAAGAAAACCAAGACAAACAGGAAAATGAAAGGTAAGGTCAGGCCAGAGCAATACAGAGGCTGCATGGGCTCGGCTCGACCACCCACGACTCTCGCATCCACTTTCCTTCATCTTCCACCACGTTTGTGAGAAACTTGAGATCTCTTCTATGTCCAGGAGAGAAAGAAAGGATAAAGGGAGGCTCCGGTGCCCCTCTCCCTCTGCACCACGAACTAGTGGCAGACCCATCTCTCTGCTTTGGCGGTTCACCACCTCCTATAGCTGGCAGATTCTAGGATCTCAGAGCAGGCTAGCAGGCGGAAAGTTGGTGAAAGCAATGAGAAACGGGAGGGAAGATACAGTGTGCCAAAAGGATAGGCCAGCGTGAGTCCCCTGTAGACCCGTCCGCTGAAACGCTCGGAGAGAAACCCTTCAGATCACAACTGTTATCAGATATTGGAATGGTTACATATAACTGAGATGACTTGGGTTGGGGCCATGTCTCAAACTAGAACCCATATTCATATTTACCTGAGGTGTATGATCTGAGATTCTTCATTTTATAGGATAATTAAAAAATATTTTTGTGCATGAAACAAAAATTTGCAACATCGTGTCAGTTCTCAGAAAGTTCTTAATTTGCAAACATTTTCAGTTTTGGGTGGGGGTGAGGATTGGAGATGTTATTTTATTTCATGTGTATGAGTGTTTGGCTTGCACTCATACATATATGTGTGCCTGTGTGTATTTGTGCATACATGAAGAAATAGGCACAGAATCCCTTGGATTCTGTGGAGGAATAAACAGCTGTGAACTGCCACATGGCTGCAGGTCCTCTGTAAGGGCATCCATTATCTCTAGGGCTGAGCCACCTCCCCAGTCCCTGTACTTAGTCTTCTGCTTGTGATCTGGCATCTCTGGAATGGCTGGTCAGTTTCTATTATCACTCTCTCATCAGATTATTCCTAATTCATTCATGCAGTTTCTTCAGTTCTGAGAGAAGGAGGCTAAGCGTACAACTTAGGGGGAGGTCACTTGCCTCACTATGCAAGGCCCTAAGTTTGACCCTCAGGACTACAAAAGAGCACATTTAAAAAATCTGCTTCCTCTCCTGCCCCATGACACGTGGCAGTCCCCAGATCATCAATGAGCGTGTTTCCTAAAACCCCCTGAGAAAGAAATGGGCTGAAATAGCGTATCCTATCATGCGAAGACACAGACACAGCATGAGATAACTGTTTCAAGAAACACACGTTCACAACATTTCAGACTACTTAGCACCATTCAGTAGTTGATGAAATGCCGTACGATATAAGCTGTTAAGAGGGGATGCAAACATCCCCCCAATGGTGTACTGAAACTTTGAAATTTGTCCAAGGGCAAGAGTCAGCTTCGCCGCACTGTATCTCCCAGTGAGTTACAATAGCTTCCTGTACAATGAGCACAGCGGATCATCCATGCAAGAGTCCAGATGTGCATATGTGTAGGCATGTGTTTCCATGTGCTGCTGTTAGGGCATTTCCCTGTTGTTAAACGATCTGGCCACAGACATTCTGGTGATCTACTTGAAATCAACACTGGGCCATTTCTGACTTCCGAAGAGAACAGCAAAAGCTATCTATTCCAACAAACTTTGCATGGTCCTACCGTGGAGGAGATGTTGGATACTGGAGGCTTGAACATTGTTTCCTCTATGTAGACATTAAAAATAAGTAATGGCTTCCCTGTGGGATTTGTCTACAGATTTGAATGAACTGATACTTAACAACTAGCCCTAAATAAATCGGTCTCAGTGACCCTCTCCTCCCCAACCTCCTCCCAGCTCTCCTGATAACGGGACCCTCAGCGCTCCAGAGGAGGTAGCAAATGGCTTGGTTTGATTGGGCAGGACAGGCCAAGTGCAGGTCTCTGCCCTTGACAACCAATCGCCTGTTCACCACACTACAGATAAATGAGCGTGAGGGAATCAGATCGTGGTGATTACTAGCACAACACCAGTTCATCTCATGGAAACACGGCATCATTTTCTCTAGGTTTGAGCGGCGTTGTTATAAAGTCTGTCCTGAAAAGACCTTCAGTGCCGAATGGGAGTGCAGAGCCTGTGGCCCCAACTGTGGCAACTGCAACCAGCATGAGTGCTATTGGTGTGAGGAGGGCTTCTTTCTCTCAGGTAAGCTAGACAACGGTGACCCCCTGGGGACCCAGCAGGCCATCACTGCAACAGAAGTCCTCCTGTGAGGATTTCAGGGTCTCTGTGTGCTGGCCCCTAGGGTCCATGGAGGAACTGTAATATTTGAAAATGAACATCAGCCTGAACCAGTTCTGCCTGCAGTTCATATTGAAGTGTGGTTCATATTTCACTAATTAATCACAAGGATCTCCAAGTTGATGTTGAATAGGAAAAGCAGATACCACTATGGGGAGGAGACCTGAAAACAAATGTTTTAGAACTGAAGTCACCTGGGCTATTCTATTTGGAGTTACAGCCATTTGCTTAAAGCAAAAACTTCATGTTTTTGATAAAAGTCATGTTACAGACTCATGTACACCATATAATTGAACAAGCTCCATTGTCTTGGGTTTTGGTGAACTCATTGATGTTGCTGGAAATAGATAGTTGGGGAAGACTTTTACGGAGCCTTCCAACCAGGAACTGGACAACCCCGTGAGCTTGAGGACTGAGCGTGGAGAATACTACAGACAGCACTCAATGAGTGGGCAGCTCACATTCTCTCCCTCTCTGCCCCATCCTTCTGTGTGTACACAGTTGTGCATGAACATGTGTGTGGTATGTTTGTGGATGTCAGAGGACAACCTTGAGTTGCCTCCATCTTTCATTTGAGACAGGTACTCTCATTGGCCTGGAACTTTGCCATGTAGGCTAGATTAACTGGCCAGTGAACTTCCAAGGGTCTATCTGTCTCAAAGAGGAGAGATGCCTCTCCCCCATCTCTCCATCACTAGGATTACAGGGGGTCCCACCATACCCAGGGTACCCAACTTAAATGTAAGTTTTAGGGATCCAAACTCAGGCCCTCATGCTTGCAAGACAACCACGTTACGGCCTGAGCCATCTCTCAGCCCCTCAGCAGCTCCTCCCTCCTCTCTATTTCTGAGACAAGGTCTATCTATGCAATTCTGGCTGTCCTGGAACTTGCTAGGTAGACCAGGCTGGCCTCAACCTCCCAGAAATCCTCCTGCCTTTGCATCCCAAGTGATAGGATTAAAGGCGTGTGCCTCAAGAGTTCTCTTCATAGGCTCATTTTATGTGTAGTTTATTAAGGCTCGGAGGTGTTAAATCTTCATTCAAAGTTCCTTGCCCTTAACTGAGGGCAAATTCATATTTAAATTAAAAAGAGAAAAAGAGTATTGCGTTTATTAGAACATAGTCTTTGACTGAGATAACCTAAAGCCATCTTGATTTGCACACATGCAAAAAAAAAAATGTCCTGAAAGTCCTTCAATAGCACCAGAAGCCCAGCTGACCAGAGACCCTTCTTCATGCCCCTCCCCCATCTTCCAAAGGTGGCAGCTGTGTGCAGGATTGTGGCCCTGGCTTCTACGGAGACCAAGAGTTGGGAGAGTGTCAGCCCTGCCACCGAGCCTGTGAGACTTGTACCGGCTTGGGCTACAACCAATGCAGCAGCTGTCAAGAAGGATTGCAGCTGTGGCACGGGGCGTGTGTCTGGCGCACAGGGCCCCAAGAGGGGGAAGGCAAGTTCCGGAACGGTACGTACCTGGCAGAGGGAGGCCCAGGGCATTCTCTGCTTCCTCCCTCTTCAGCACTGTTTCTGAGAGAAGGGTTTTGAGGGAGAATCACGATTGCTCCAAGACCCTCAAGTCTCAGGGTGTCCGTGGATGTTTCTTTTCCATACCTGCTCTCAAATAATTACTCAGAGGTTTAATATTAATTACGAATGTTTGGCTGATAGTATGTTTGGCTGATAGCTCAGGTTTATTACTGGCTAACTCTTACACTTAAATTAACTCCTTTTTATCTATACTTTGCCACGTGGCTTAGTACCTTTTCTCTGTCTGGAGTGCCCATCTTGCTCTGTGACTCTCTGATTCCACACTTTTCATTCTTGTATCTTGTTTGATTTTCCCACCTAGCTTTATCCTGCCTTGTTATGGGCCAATCACCGTCTTTATTGACCAATGAGAGAAATACAAATTCACAGTGTGCAGAAGGTCTATTTTACAGAATCTGGGAGTTTGTGGGACACAAAGGTAGGAAGCTGAAGTAGGCATGTGGCCAGCAAGAGCAAAGCAGAGGGCAAGATGTGAATGATCTAGAGATAAGAGGCCCAGGACCATGGGCAGTGGCCTACCTCCCATCTTCTCAAAGGTTTCACAACAGTTTCTATCATGTGATGGATCTCTACAATAAAGGAAACCTTCAACCCCAGGGCAGCCTTTTCAGTGACCCTGACACACTGGAGCTGATGCTAAGCAGGCTAGCTTCCTGGAGAGCTGGCACTGGCCTTCTGAAAGCTGCCTTCCCTGTCTGGGGTGGAGGCCTACTGTGCATGGGGCCCTGGGTCTGATCCTCAGCATGGCTGGGTGGGGAGGGGTGCTGCACTCTGCAGGTGCATATGGGAAAGATTTGGTCTTCAAGAAGGCGTGAGGGACTGGTATTCATCCCTCTCTGCATTTTTAGACTTGGCCTCTCCACCTCTGCAACCCCACTATGGGCTTCCTTTGAGGCAATTATAATCTTTCTATGACATCCCCATGTTGGAGAAGGCTAAAAACCCAAGTCCTTTTTATGGGGGTGGGCAGTCTGACTCACATTCAGCTACGCTATGAAAAATAAAGGTGCTTCCAAATTTCTGGGGAAGAGCCCACTCCGTACAGTGACAGTGGCAGCTGTAGGAGGCCACACTGGACAAGGAGGAAGGTCCCTCCTGGGGACAGGTGTCATAGCTGCTGTCCACTATGACACTTCTGCACATCTGGTTTTCCTAAGACAACATCCAAAGGCCAGAGCACCCTAGGCTGTTTCCGACACAGGGCTAAGAAGAAAGTTACTCAATCCAGATTGGGATATCTTCTGTGAATTATAGCTGAACCAAAATGCTGAAAACGAGTCGGTCTGGCATTTGGGCTTTAAGAGGTAGAAGAAGCCAAGAAGGAAACAGTCTGGCGCTGCGCTTCTTGCCCTGAACATCTGTATTTTATCTGGCGTCCAGATGATGAAAAGGTGCAGGGAGCCAAGAGAGTCAGAGCCGACTCGATTCCCCCAATGATTACATGTCTCTTCAACTGGACTACGCATTTTGCAAGCAAAAATCAGACTTTGATTGTTCCCCTTTGTGGGAGCACCACACCCAGGCTTCCTTCTCCCCCCAGCCCCCTGTGATCACAATGTGATGTTTTTGCAATGAGAAAGGTTTTATTTTCTTTGGGGGCCTCCCACCAATAAGGGAATCTGGGAGCAGATGAGAATGTTTCTTGCGGCTGGACAAAAGCAATGAAGTCCATGACCTAACTGCACTTTCCATTTCTGTGATCTATGAAATCAGACATGCAAAGCATTAACAGAGAGTTGCTGGAAAGCGTTTGCTCACTAAGCAAGGTGAAGCCGCGGCGGCGGCGCACCCTCCCCACACAGCTGCAGTACCGAGTGGGTAGTGAATGGGGAACGCATCCCACTAACAGTGGGGAGGCTTGGCGCCAGTGCCTACATCTCTCCTGCCTTCTTCCCCTAAAAACAAGGTCAGGAGTGTAATAAGAGAGTGGAGCATTCCAGAGAGCAAGCACTAATTAGCTACACCTCTCAGATGATGAGGAACAGATTTCAGTCATCCTAGGTCAACCTCGAGGAAGCCTGGAACAAGTCACAGGGTGTTGACGAGAGAATGGAGCGGCCTAGGTGTTACCAGCCGGGTTTTCAGCCTTGTCATTGGGACTTTTTAAAAAAAAAACAGACTCAGATGCAGGTAGAATGCTAGAACAGCCTGAGCTTCAGCTCACTCCAACAGAAACAGCACAGCCATGATGGGATCCGAAGGTCACACTCGGAGAGTGCTACAGAGGTCTCTGTGTGCTTGGGGAAGTGACCTTGAGACTGAATGACACTGCGTTCCCTCTTTTCTTAGCCCTGTGGCTAATCAGAAGGACAATAATGAGAGTGAGGAAGAGCCACCACCATTCTTTGTCAACTCTCCCCAGAATGAGTTCCCCTCTCCCCAGAGCCCAAGGGTGGAGAACTCACCAAGGCCTGCCAGGCAAGTCCTGCAGCCAAGACCCTTGAGTTTCAAGAATGGCAGCTTTACTATGTTTTCCAGCCACTAAAAAAGTCCCAGGAAGGCCCTGGGCCCCACTTACTAACACTGTGATGATGTCCTGGGCCAATGTTGCTAAATGACAGGGATCCTTCTGAATAGGTGACGGCATGTCACCACGTCCAGGGGCAGTGAGACATCAGCTCCCGGAGACAGCTTTACCGGACCTGGGGACGGGAACAGTTTCCCGGTCGCTGTTAAAGCATTTTGTTCTTCTGAAGCATTTTTCCCCTCCGGTGTCTCAGAAAGTTCCAGCAAACATGCATGAGTGGCCCGGCCCACCTATTTCCCTCATTGATTAGAACCAGGTCCTAGCAGGCTCTAATTACAGATTGCTAGCAAGGACTAATCTACAAAGCGCGGCTTGGTGAGCAAACGTTTATCTTTGACCACATCCTAGCCACTCACCACTAGCTGTCCTTTTGATCTTCATTCCTAAACTCTGGGAAATACTGGAGTCTGGGACTCTGTGGGAGGAAAGTCAACCTCTTTGTGGGAGATAAATGCTGTGTGATAGTAACTGCGGGTAACTTTGAAGATGCCACAAATTCCTAGAAGGGATTCGTCCATCTCTGTGTGTGCTTGCCTCATCTAGGAAGGATGGTGGCATTTTTAGCGACTTAACCAATAGGAAAGTTGAATGTAAAGAGCACACACCCTGTAGGATAATCAAACCTTTGGCCCAGTGCTACAAGGGACAGTTGTACTGGCTTGCTCTGGCTGTTATGCATCCAGGAACTGTGTGTTGCCAGGCCATTGCCCGCCTAAAATTAGCTATGGCAGACATGTTTCCATCACCAAAATTGGCAACGCTGCAAATCAGCATTGTCTCCCCAACCGAGCTCCACTTTGATCTCTCTCAAATGACTTTCAAATTGAAATTAATTGCTCAAGAGCCTCTCTAGTGGACATGAGCTTTCATGATGGACAGACCTGGAAACTTCCAGTGTGGCTTAACGGGAGAACAGTTGCCTCCTGTGCATGAGGCCCTGAGTTGGATCCCAGCACTGCAAATGGATAGCAGAAAGAAAAAAAAAAAACACACAGTAAGAACAGTAGCTCTAGAAACTGAGAGCCCTGCGTTCAAATCCTGGCCTGGCTGTTCACTGTAGCATAACCCTGAGTGCATTCTTCCTCCTCTGTGAGCCTCAGTTCTCTCGACTGTAAAATGAGAGCATGAAACCACTACATCATCCTCTCGAACCCGAGAAAACTTAACATCCCACAAAACATTAGGGGTCCTGTTTCCTGACCCTTTGTCCCGACCAAAACACCGGTTCACAACAGGGTCACAAAAGAAAACAATTGGCGGGAGGTTGAGGGACATCGAAGAATAGTATTGGTCTAGAAAAAAAAATAGTCCCAGAGAGCAGGCATCCACAGACCAGCCAGGACCCCTCACAATCAGAATCCTGACTGGCCACAAGTGCATCCCCTCAAAGATGTGCCTGTAGCTTCATTACAATAAGAACCACAATGGATGTGTGGGGCCAAGCAATCTGCAAATGTAACAAAAAATGAAATAGGATTCATACAAATACATATGCAAAGGATTCTGAAAAGATGCCTTCAAAGGCTGTGGCAAGAGGAAGCATCTCTTGTATGGAGAGTGTTGAATGGCTCATGCAGGCTCAGTATCCTACACGCAGAGGGTGCGAATGACTGCATCCCAAAAGTCCTTCCACCGTCCACATCTCAGGGGGGGGGATCTGTGTGTGAAGAATCCACAGCAGACATCTCTGGGAGGTGGGGGCATAGGGGAAGCTTATCTTCTTCCTAGTTCTTCTATCGCTAAAACAAACACTTTATTTTTTTAATAAAAAGAAGCTGTTCCCACTGAAAACCCATCTATGGTGAAGAACCTGCTGCAGGAGCAACGAAGGTGGAAAGTTCAAGTCAAAAGAGGTAACAGGGAAATAGGGAGGAGATGGTCACCACCCCACAGCCATCTCCAGAAAGCAAGCCCAGCAGTCAGAAGGCCAGGACAATGGGGATACGGAAGTCATGACAGAGGAGACAGGAGGGCCATAAGAAGGCAGTGGACAACTTGGGAAATCTGTGTGATCCAGTGGCAGAGGATCCTGTCACATCTAAGGCCATTCTCGATGCACTGAGGACTGTGTCTGGGAAAGACCGTCAAAGAGCCATATGGCTGGATGGGAGCTCGGCCACAGGGAACTACCTAGCAACCACGAGCCCCTGGGCTCCATCACCAGGCTCCATCCCTGCAAATCTTTAATAGGCTAAAGAAGCAACATAGGCCTTCTTGGACACTAAGGTGTCCTTTAAAATAGCAAAGACTGGAAAACTAAATGGCTATAATAAAAGAAATGAAGGCTGGCACATCCATAGAGGAAAATATTACAGAGCTGTCAAAAGGAACGAGAGGTTCCTCATTTATCAGCAAGGCCTGCTCTTCAAAAGATGAGTTTAAAAAGCAGAAAGGCGAGTCAAGCATGATGGAGCACGTCTGTCAGCCAAGTACTTACGAGGCTGGGGTGGGAGACTCACAAGTTCAGGGACAGCCTAGGCTACATAGCAGGACCCTGTCACAAAAAAAGAAAAAAAACACACAAATAAAAACAAAACCTGTAGTGCAAAGTGATGCACAATGTGAATAGATTCAGTATGCAGATATAGAACCATACAACTATAAATTATTTTCTATGAGAATAAGAAGGCCCTGGTTTTTTACAGTTGCCTGCGGCTAAGAGGTACAACTTAATTGGCTGAAGAGATTTCTTTCCTTTTCCTTTTTTTTTTTCCCTCTTTTTCATCAGTGTTAGCAAGGTTAGAATTTCTGGAGTGGGATTAAAAATGTGAACCATGAATAAAGTTACAACTTACTCGGTCTGACTGGCTAACCTACTGGATGCTGTGGTCTAATTACTGTGAACTGCTTGTTCAGCGCTCCCTCTGCTGGACATGAGAGAACATTGCAGAATTCTATACCAAGTTTATGCAGTGAAAACAGCAAAATTGCCAGAATGTTAAATTTATATAATTACAAATATGTATGTGTGGATAGCTATTGAATTTCACAAATATATGAAAAAATAAATCCCATATCCTTGTGAATAAAACCCTTCGGTATAGAATGAGAAAGTCCACCGAAAATCAGCCTGTGGCCAGATACAGCGTAGTTTTTGCAGGGCTCAGGGATGACTGGCACTCTGAGCATCCCAGCCTATGGCTGCCCTCCTTCGGCCTCTCCTTATGGTCACAGGTTGTCTCCAGGTGAAACAGGTGGAAAGGCCTCGGGAGCAGTGATGTGACTGCTTGTGTGGCTGGCTCTACATACGCATGCGTCATGGGTGTATATGCATGTTATGGTGTGCGTTACATGTGCATACTGCACACATGGATCAACATAGTCATATCTCTCTGCCCTGTCTGCACTCCACCCTGGTCTCCTCCGCAACAACGCTGAGAGGCTTTGTAATCACAAGAAACACCGAACACACCAGGCCCGCCCCTGGTTCCTGTCCCAGTGTGGATTAAGAAAATAAAAGAGAAATTATAGCAGCCTCAGAAATGGTGTGGAAGAATGAAGGAAGAAAAGGAAAGGGAGAAGGTGAAGGTCTGTTACTCAGTCGCTGTGCTAAACCCCTCACACACTGTCTCCGTGAGCCCTGTGTTGAGTAAGGACCTCACTCACTGTCTCACCGAGCAGTAAGGAAGGACTAAAGTAAGGACTTCACACACCAGCAGCATTAAACAAGACACACACTGCCTCCCTGAGGTTCACAGTTCTACGAGGGAGGAACCATTTTCTGTCATTTTGGAGACTCTGAGACTTTGATTACTGTATTCATGGTTATCCTACCCATAAGCTGTCCAGCTGGGTTGGCAGACATGAGTAGAGGGCCATCTACCAGGCTCCTAGAAGGAGAAGAGGGTAAAGGAGAGAGGAAGGGGTCAGGGCCATTACAATCAGAGAAGGTAGACTTCCCTGTGGGTTGTACACTGGGAAGATCTCCCTGTGCCCTGAGTGGGGTGGATGAGGTTGCCCTGTGTATATGAAAAACTGTCCCACGAGCTTTCTGAGGTGGCTTTCTGGAAAAGCTTTCTTGCAGATGCTCTCAGAGGGAGAATACAAACACACAAACATATGGACACACAGACATTCGCCTACATGGTCCAAACATGTGAAAGCAGCATGATTTGTTAGCTCATAGTATGACGACTGTCCTGTAAGCCATAACTTTTCTGTCATTGAGCGGTTACAAGGGAAATCTTGATAATGTTTCCAAGGCAAGAATTTGAGAAAATAATGAATAAATTCTACAGGGTGGTAGCCAGTAGTTAGCTAGCATAAAATTGAAAAGAACGAGGACTGAGTTACAGTGAGGCCTCTTCCACTACTGTGACAGTTTGCGATGAGGCCGAGTCTGACTTCTTCCTTGCCCAAACAGATGCCACAAAGCAATATCAACCTTGCCATTCTTCCTGTAAGACCTGCGCTGGATCTGAAACTCTCTGCACTTCCTGTCCTGCAGGTCAGTGTGGAGGGGGAGGCGATGGGATCTGAACCCGCACACCGTCATCACGCCTGCACGCTGATGGAGGTTTGTGTTCAGGTGCACAGTACTGATCTACTCTCATAGTATCCTCCCGGGGGAGGCACACAACAAGCCAGCAACGAAAACGTTCCTTCTGGGACAAAGAAATGCTTCTTACTCCAAAAGCATGGTGCAGCCTCGGGTTGATTTGGCCACAGAATTTTCTGGAATCTGGGGGTACTTTACAGTTTCTTGTTCTTTTATCTAAGACGAGGATAAGTATGAAGATGAACACACTGCGGCTTCCCTCATCATTGAGTCTACACTTGGTGCCGGGAGGGGAAGGGAAGGGGCAACAGAACAGCCCATTTCCTGGATCTTACCGTTTTATAGAAACCCCGGGCATAGATAACTTCCTCAGGATAGATTGCCTATGTAGTGTTATGCTCCCATAAAAATTATCTTTAAGGGCTGGAGAGATGACCCAGTGCAGTGGATAAGAACATACACTGCTCATTGCTGTCTGGGTGCTCTGGGATTGTGAATTGTAGGCTGGATTTCTTTGCTTTATGTCTAAAAACCACTTATGAGTGAGTAGATATTTGTTTTTCTGAGTCTGGGTTACCTCATTCAATATGATGTTTTCTAGATCCATCCATTTGCCTCCAAATTTCAAGATGTCATTTTTTTCTGCTGTATAGTACTCCATTGTGTAAATGTACCACATTTTCCTTATCCATTCTTCACTCGAGGGGCATTTAAGTTGTTGCCAGAGAAAAATGTATAGCTCAATAAAATCAATTAAAAAAAAAGAACACATACTGTTCTTGCAGAGAACCCAAGCTCAGTTCCCAGCATCTACCTTCATGGGCACCTGCACTCATACACACTGACACACAGGCACACATAGACATAGTTAAAAATAAAATTAAAAGTGCATCTTTAAAAATTAGCATAAGATCCATATATAAATGTGTAATGTTATTAATACTGTCAACCCCTTATTCTTTAGCTATGGGTTCCAGTAAAGTCTATGGCTATCTGAAACCACAGTAGAACCAAGTCTTATGTGTACTGTTTTCCTATACATACTTCCCATGATAAACTTGAATTTACAAATCAGACACAATAAATGAATAACAACAATCAATAATAAAATGGAGAATCATTTTATTATATGTACACTGTAATAAAGGTTTTTATAGCTTCAAGACCTTTCCCTCTACAGTTTTGACTTGGTATTCCGAATCTGGGCTGGCCTCTAGCAGCTGAGACTTGGCTAACGCCCTGAATCAGGGGCTGTTGTTGTGAGATCTGACATGAGGCAGCATTGAAAATGGTAGATGCAGCAAGGCTGGAAATATGAGCAACCACATCCAGAAACGGAAACAAGATGCTTTAGAATTTTAGTTGAGATGGTTTTAAATTTTGTTATTATTATTTTTACATGATTGATGTATTTATTTATTTATTGAAACCATCTTACTGTGTAGCTCTGGTTAGCTTGAAACTTACTATGTAGAGAAGGCTGACTTCAAACTCACAGAGATCTGCATATCTCTGCCTCCCAAGTGCATATGCCACCACACATCTGACCCTATTTTTTTATCCTTACATCATTTGTTAATTTTGTAGGGTGTGTGTGTGGTGTGCACCAGTACACGTGCTCTCGTGTGGAGGCTAGAGGTCAAACTGTTGTTCTTCAAGATGGCTTTCCAAGTTGGTGTTTTGTTTCTGACAGGTGTCCCACTGGCCTGGGGCTCACCAGTTCAGCTGAGCTAGTTGCCTGGCCAACGAGCACAGCATCTTCCCTTCCCTATGTCCCTAGTCCTGGGATTGCAAGCACTCACCACTGCACCCAGCTTTTTATGTGGGTTCTGGGGTTCAAACTCGTATTCTTACCTTTGCATTTTACTGAGCTCTCCCTAACCTCCTAATTAAAAAAAAAGATTACATTTATGTATTTCCGAGTGTGGGTATGAACATGCCACAGCACATATGTGGGGGTCAGAGGAACTTGCAGGAGTCGGTTCTCCCCTTCCACTGTGTAGTTTCCAGGCCTTAAGCTCCATTAATAAGGTTTGACAGCAATGGCCCAAATTTGCCTTTTAGAATAACAATAATGTCCTTTCTGATAAGCACACATGAAAACAGAGTGTGGGTTGAAGGGGAGGATTCTGGAAATTTCACTGCCATGCCAGTCACACCTGTCACAGATTGGGTGGAAGGAAAGGGGGTCCCAAGGAGCAGTTCGCATGTGACGGCCTAGATGACAGGGCTCATCAGCAGGACAAAGGGAAGCCCTGTGGTGAGCAGTATCTAATGTCAGACTGTATAAAAGAAGCAGGGCAAAGCCCCCTGTGGCTGATCTTCTTCCCAAAGACCTAACGAATCTAAAGGACTAATAAAAATAAGTAAATAGATAGATAGATAAATATTTTTACAAGCCTGAAATGGTGTTCCAAATACCTGAACTTTGAAAAAGCAAAAAGAAGAAAGAAAGAGAGAGAGAGAGAGAGAGAGAGAGAGAGAGGGAGGGAGGGAGGAAGGAAGGAAGGAAGGAAGGAAGGAAGGAAGGAAGAAAAGACACCGCTGTTCTGGGTGTCAGTCCTCTGGATGACATTTGCGCTAGCAGGAGTAGCCATGACAACTGTCCTTTGCCCTTGTGCCCTGATTTTCAGGTACATACCTGTGGCTGCAGACCTGTGTTCCCTCCTGTCCCCAAGGCACGTGGCCATCGCTCAGGAGCGGCAGCTGCGAGAGCTGTGCTGAAGACTGTGCCTCCTGCACTGGGGCTGACCTTTGCCAGAAGTGCCTAAGTCAGCCGGACAACCTTCTGCTCCTCCATGAGGGCCGCTGCTACCACAGTTGCCCGGAGTAAGTGTCTCCCTCCCTTTGTGCTCCTTCTCATTCTCCACAGCACCTCAGAGAGGCTCCTTCCTCTCCCTAGAACGCTCTCTGCACAGCCAGAGCACCCACTAAATGTTATTTGTTGACTGTGGCCTCACTGTGGGCCCACAGAAGCTAAAGCGCACCTAAGGCCAGACACCCACTTCTCCCTGTGACTTGTCAACACCTGGATTCATATTTCTGTGACAGCGGCCTTGTGGCCAGCATTGCACAACAGTGGGGGATATTTTCAGAGAGGTGTCAGCAGGCAGTCTCATCCCCGGGTGAGTGGCACACCGTTCTTACACAAGCCTGGGTAGAGTAGCCACCTACACACAGCGTCCGTGATGTGGGCTGTCACACATGAGGCTCCTCGCTGACCAAAACATGTTTGTGTGGGGCCTGACTATTCTTTTCCCACCTTGTACCGACAACTGAATTTTCTCGGTTCTCTTCTGCTTCCCAAATGCAGAGTCGTGGCACGAGCCTCTTCTAAACTTCCAAGTGAATGAGTTATGAATTACAAATAGTGTTAGTAGCTACTTATGTTTGATTGCTATGCTTTTGTAGGCCCCTCTAATTTAGAATTCCTTTAGTCTCCTAAAGTCACCTGTGGGGAAGAGAACAGCAGACCAGAAATAACAAGTTTAGCAAGACGTAACAAAATTTGGGTCAAAATGGCAATTCTCCCACTTGAAGCCTCACACTGGTGACTGGTGACTTTGGCTTCACCAGAAACCCCCTTTTTCCACTTGTTCTTGTTCCTTGCTTGGCTGCCTTTCCTGGCTGGCCTGGAAGAGTTGCAGACTGCATTGTCTACCTCGGCTACCAGCATTACCTCCCCACTCAGTCACCAGCAGCTTAGGGGTGACTGTCCCTTCCCTTTCCCTCCCTCCTTCCCTCAGATTTCCTTCCAACGCCATCATCCAGGTATATCACTTTCTAAAGCCATCTCTAACAAGAAGGGTAAAGAGCTGTCATCTGCTCTTACCTCTTATCCAAGGCCTCTTAGTAATGTCTAAAACTATATAGTACCAAGGCAGTGGTGACACATGCCTTTAATCCCAGCACTCAGGAGGCAGAGGCAGGCAGGTCTCTGTGAGTTCGAGGCCAGCCTGGTCAATATAGTGAGTTCCAGAACAGCCAAGGCTACATATTGAAAAACCTGTCAACAACAATAATAATAAATACCAGTACTTTCTGCACAAACAAGAGTACCTTAGTTCAATCCCCAGCACCCACATAAATACCAGGAGCTGTGATGCACTCCTATGGTCTTGGTACTGAGGAAGTAGAGACAGGAGGATCCCCATAGCCCTCCAGTCAGCCAATCTATTAAAAGTGATAAACCCCAGATTCAGAAAGAGAGATCCTGTCTCAAAAATAAGGTGAGGAATGATAGAGGAAGGCTCCAATGTCAATCACTGGCTTCTACACATACACGCACGGGTGTATACACAAGAACACAGACTACTACAGTACACCCCACACAAATAAAATATAAGAACAGAAACATATTCCTAGATCCCGTAAATGATAGACACCAATGGCTGTTTCCATAGTCAGGCCTGGTTTGAAATCTCTATTAATGTCTCCTCCTCCTCCTCCTCCTCCTCCTCCTCCTCCTCCTCCTCCTCCTTCTTCTTCTCTCTCTCTCTCTCTCTCTCTCTCTCTCTCTCTCTCTCTGTGTGTGTGTGTGTGTGTGTGTGAATTAGAATATTTTCCTATTTTCCATTGTAAAATAAAGCTCTAACAGAGAAAAAAGAAAATGACAATTTGGGGATAAATAGGAAATCAGACAAATGAAAAAGTTTTAGACAAATTCAATTACTTTAAAAGTTCCCGAGGAAGCCCACCTCTTCCATTTTATTTCCCTCGGTGAGCCTTGTGGGTTCGTTTTGACGGACAGGAGCAGCAGCCTTTCCTTTTTGTCTGAGTCTCCTGTCAGCAGCTGACATTCATCTCTAATTGGCCTAATTGCAGTCTCCCTCCTTTTCCTAGGGGCTTCTACGCACAAGAGGGGATCTGTGAACACTGCAGTTCCCCGTGCAGAACGTGCGAGGGAAATGCTACCAACTGTCACTCTTGTGAAGGAGACTTTGTCCTAGACCACGGGGTATGCTTGAAAACTTGCCCTGAAAAGCATGTGGCCGTGGAAGGTGTCTGCAAACACTGCCCTGAAAATTGCCAGGACTGCATCCACGAGGAAACCTGCAAAGGTACCTGGAAGCATCCTGAGGAAAAGCACATTCTCTCCCGCACAAAGAAACACATGAACGAAACTAAGAGAACCCACGAAGGCAATCTCTTCTCACAAAAAGGTTGTGCTGTGACCCAAGCTGGTCTAGCAGGCACACCCAGCAGGAAACCTGATAGGTTTTTCTCCTAATGTAGGAGTGCTGTGTCTTTCCCCTATTGACTGGGGTTCGACCCCCAGTCTTACACAGTTGGCTAGTTTTAAAAGAATTTCTGGGGGGCCGGGCGGTGGTGGTGCACGTCTTTAATCCCAGCACTGGGGAGGCAGAGGCAGATGGATCTCTGTGAGTTCGAGACCAGCCTGGTCTACAAGAGCTAGTTCCAGGACAGGCTCCAAAACCACAGAGAAACCCTGTCTCGAAAAACAAAAAAAAAAAAAAAAAAAAAAAAAAAAAAAAAAAAAAAAAGAATTTCTGGGGGAAAAAAAAGGAAAGCAGTGGGACAAGTGGTCTGGACCACCAAGTCTGAGGAATGTGGAAGAGGCATGGGGCAGCTCTTCACAAACAAAAGCTTTACTAGGTGGAGAAGATGAAAAGATTTGAATTCCTTTGCACAAAAGTTTTACAAGATGAGCGAGATTTAAGGCATATTGGCCCTTGACAGACAAATCATCTTTGATAGAAAGCTAACAAACAAACAAAAAACATTCTCAGGGTCCCAAAGGGATCCTGGCCCTGAGGAATCACTGGCTAGGGCCCCTATCTGAGAACAGAAAGAATCAATCTCCACCTTCAGTGAAACTCGCCACCTGCTGGCCTATCATTGAGCAAGCAGAGGATGAGATAAGCTTCATCCCTTGGGACTCTGAGCTAAAGACAAACAAGCGTTCCTCCCAATGTCCTCAACTCTCACCTCAAAGGGAATCAGAGACGTTCATTCTGGGGACAGATATGAATGACCAAGGCCTAGGAGCAAAGATCCAGGTTACCCTACTTGCCATGTTTCAGTGTGACACGGTTCGTATGTTTTCCAAATCAGAGCAGAAGGAAGTCCTGAATCAAGGCTCTTTTAAAAGCTCTGGTGGTGGGGCTGGAGAGATGGCTCAGCGGTTAAGAGCATTGCCGGCTCTTCCAAAGGTCCTGAGTTCAATTCCCAGCAACCACATGGTGGCTCACAACCATCTGTAATAAGGTCTGATGCCCTCTTCTGGCCTTTGGCATACACACAGATAGACTATTGTATACATAACAAATAATAATAAAAAGAACCAAAAAAAAAAAAAAAAAAAAAGCTCTGGCGGTAACAGCCGGTAGCAACATGAGGACATCTCTGCTATAGGCTTCATGTACTACCTGATGACAGCTGTGGCTTCAGGCTCTGTAGAGCTAATGGTCCGTTAAATTAACACATCCCAAGAGAATTTACCTGACCGTCACAGGTCCAACACAGAGGTGGTCAAGGAATGGCTAAGGAGCTAAAGAAAGCCCAAGATAATTTGATTCTGGATCTACAACATTCCAACACTCCACAAGAGTGCAGTCCTAACCAGTCAGCCAGCCTTTTAGAACACAGCTGTTTTGTTTTGTTTGTTTGCTTGTTTGTTTCTGAGAGCTCCAGTTCCTAACCCAGAACACTGAGTTACAGATAAGATCTCCAAACCCCACTGAGAGTCAAGGTCTTATAGAAGAGACTGATCCGTCTCAAATATAAAAACAAAAATCACAGAGGTGATTAGCGAAAGAGTTATAAAGATATGGGAAAAAAAGGTGGTGGAGCAATAGGTAACGACGGCACCCCTCCTAAAGACATCTTCTACCTGTGATCCCACATCATGGAAAGAGATCAGTTTTACATCATATCCTCCAAGTCATGTGTCTACAGTGTGTGGTGTCTTCAGCAGTAGAGTCTAACTTCCAACTTCTGGGAGGCAACAATAGGCTATACGGCACTAGGGAGTCTCTTAGACAACCCTGGAACCTGAAAGGGGATTTCCCTTGCCTGGGATTTTTGTTAGTCAATAATTCTTGAGGGGAGCATTATCCTTCAGTGTCATAGACCTGCACACACACACACACACACACACACACACACACACACACACACACACAGAGAGAGAGAGAGAGAGAGAGAGAGAGAGAAATAGGCTCTCCTATTACTGTATTCTGTAGTGTCTATGTAAAGGAAAGCTTATAAAATAATGTTTCCCTAAGGCTTTCTCAAGCAACCTTAGTGGTATTTATCTTTCTCTCTCCTCTCTCTCTAAATTACCTCCCCTCCCTCCCACAAGTTCAGACCTCCACCCTCATTTTCCCCTTGCATAGCACCTGCTTCCTTCTAGACCCTTCTCTAGAGCTCCTTCTCCTCTGTACCACCATGACTCTCTCTAAACTTCCTGGCTTCTGCAGCTCCTTTGGGTCACATGCTGACATCTAAAGATACAGACAAAGGACACACAAACATGAAAGAACATGCAGTATTTGTCTTTCTGGGTCTGGTGCATCTTGCTCAGTATCATCGTTTCTGCTTCTATCCATTTACCTGCAAATTTCATGATTGAATTTTTTTGTATCTCAATAGTATTCCAGTGTGTCATTATCTAGTCATCGGGTGACAGACATTTAGTCTGTTTCCACGTCCTGTGGAAAGGACTACTGTGAAGGGAGCAGCAGTGAGCCTGGCTGAGCAAGAACCTGAGTAGGATAGTGAGTCCTTTGGTCATACACCAAGGAGTCATATAGCTGGGTCACATGCTAGGTCTGCTTTTAGCTTTTTGAGAATTCTCCACCTTGATTTTCATCGAGGCTGTACCAGCTTTCCATCCTGCCAACAGCGGGTTAGGCGTCTCCTTTCCCTGCATCTTCGCCAGCGTCTGTTGTCAGCTGTTGTCTTGATCTTGGATGAAATCTCTCTAATACTAGTAATAAGTAATACTAATTTGCATCTCCCGTTGGCCAAAGATGTGGAAGACTTTAAAGAATTCTCTGTTCGGATCTATAGCCCATTTTCTTAATTAGATCATTTGTTTTCTTGATTTTTTTTCCACTCTTTTGAGTGCTTAGTATGTTCTGGATGTTAATCCTGTCAGATGTACAGCTATCAAAGATTCTCCTCTACTCTGTGGGCTTCCTCCTCATGCAGCTGATTGCTTCCTCGGGTGTACAGAAGCATTTTAGTTTTATGAGGTCCCACTTGTCAGCTGTTGGCTTTAATTCCTGGGCGAATGAAGTTCCATTCCGAAAGTCCTTTGAACCTATACACTGTACCGTACAGTCAGCTTTCTTCTAGCGGTCCCAGGGTTTCCACTCTCACACTGAGGTCTTTGGTCCATGTGGAACTGATTTGTGTGCAGGGTGATGAGTATGGGTCTAGTTTCATTCTGCTGTCTGTGGACAGCTATTGTTCCCAGGTCTTTGAACAATGACTCCATCATTCCGACCCTCACTATTTCCCACAGCACTAAAACTTTTTGCACCTGGAAGGTGCAGGCCACGTCAGCACACAAATCCAAAATCATATAATCAGGCCACCATGTGTGGGTTTACTCCCAAGCCAGGGATTTTTAGATATTGGGGATGTATCCTGGCTGGTTGGGGAAGGGCAAATGTTATCCTAGGTCAAGAGGCTCAGAGAGCTGAGAAATGAGCTAGCCCACCACAAGAGCCATGCATTCTTCTCAGCAGTCCCTGGGGGATAACCTGCTACTTCCTTCTTTCCTCAGAATGCATGCCGAACTTCTTCCTGCACGATGACACATGCCGTCCCTCCTGTCCCAAGCACTTTTATCCTGACTTGGGCCAGTGTGTCTCCTGCCATAAAAACTGTCTGGAGTGCAATGGCCCCAAGGAAGATGACTGTGTGGGCTGCACTGATTCTTCCAAGGTTCTCTACAATGGGCTGTGTCTGGACGTGTGCCCCGAGGGAACCTACAAAGACGAGGGGACTGACAAATGCGAAGGTAAGGACTTCCGGTTTGCAGGACCAAGCAAGGGATGCTCAAAACACGCTCTTGGGCCTCAGGAAGATCCAGTCACAGTTCTCAAATCACTTTTATCCTTTCTGCTCAAAGAAGTCAAATTTGAACACAGGTTCTTTTTTGTCATTGTTTTCTTTGGGGCGTGGGGTGTTGAGACAGGGTTTTTCTGTGTCCTGGCTGTCCTGGAACTTGCTCTGTAGACAAGGCTGGCCTCGAACTCACAGAAATCTGCTGCCCTCTGCTGCCCTAGTGCTGGGATGAAAGATGTGTGTCACCACAGCCCTGGCAAAAGTTTATTTTTCAAATGCACCATTCATAAGCTTTGAGAATGTGAGTCCTGCTAGTTACGGATCACACGGCCCGACTAATGGCACATGCCCATAGAAAAGGGTTCTCCATGTAAAGTTTCCAAGAGCTGATGAACTTCTAAAGGGTGCTCTAAGCTGATGTTTCTTCTTGAGGGTTCAAATCACCAATGAGTTCACACACTTAAAAGATCCCACGGAGGCCTTCCTACCTGCCCGTCAGCTCCCTTCCCTCTCCTCTCCTCACCGCCCTCCTTCCCCTCAGCACTTTCTATCCCAGGCCCCATTCATCTCCCATTTGGCTCTTCTGCCACTACACAGCCCAGAAGGGAACTGCTGGACCTGGGGAGCAACATAGTGTGAAAGCCCTTGCCTAGTGTGTCCCAGAGCCTGCAAGGGACTCTTAGTACTGCATGAAACAATAAAACAAGAAAGGAGAGGGGGTCTGTAGTTCCTTGGGCCCCCTTATTTTTCAACTGGGCATTAATCTTCCTTAATCTCTTTCTAGTAACCAGGAAACAGAAAACATAGATTGTCCATTATGAGAGGACTTCTCGAAGAAGAGAGGAAAGCACCCTAGGAGACAGGCTTTTCTAAAGCAGGGAGTAGCTTACCACCTTTCCTGAGTCCTGGGGCTGAACTGGCAAGAGCTTTTGTTAAGGGTCTTGATTCCCATCCGGGTCTATCTCCTGCAACATCTGGATGGAATCCCATTGTGCTGGCTGTCAATGTGCCCTCTTCTTGCCCAGTCCCCCAAGAGTTGTGGTTACAAGTATGTGCCACCACACCTGGCTGGTTCTATTCTCTTCTGGATGAGTGACTTGGCGTCTTTGGTCCCAATCTGGTGCAGAGAGAATGAGATGATAATAGTGACAGGAAAACCATGCATCTCTCCATCCGGGGAAACTGGGGGGTGGGAGAGAGCTTCTGTGTGCTGTGTGCTGCTCCAGAGAGAAGGCCTGCCCTTACAGAGCTCATGGTCTATTCCAAGAGGAAGATGCTAAGGACACCAAGTCAAGAGAAAAGGGAGACAGCAAAGGAAGGGTAGGAAGAGGGGCCAGCAGGAACTGAAATCTGAGAGATTTTATGGAAGATACCAAGAAAAGGAGGGAGCAATGACTGTAGGAAGAAACCTGCACATGTCTGCAAGAACAGGATTCCAAGTAGAGGTGATGATGGGTACTGGAACCTCTAAGGGTCAACTGTTCTTCATTGATTGTCCCACACATCTGCCAAGTAAGTGCCTATTGTACGCAGGTCTTCTCACACCAGCACTGTGCCTTTGTAATGAACACCAAAGAGGCCTTTGCCACTGGGCACTTATACTACATTCCAGTAACTGCTTAGTGACTAGCTAGAGGTATTCTAGGAGATGTGGGAAAGACCGTGGCAATGGGGACTTTGATAGAGGAAAGGCCACATACTGTTGTGTGACCTTGCTCATAGTGTTGAGCGACCAAGTCCCCATACCCTTGGGCACAAAGCCCTAGAAGTCTCCAGGAGAACGGTATTCATTTCTTAAAGGGGTGTCCCTGCCTTAACCATCTCTCACCCCCCTCTGCCTGGCTGCCTGCCATACCCACAGATTGCCCCGAATTCTGCTGGATCTGCTCATCAGAATGGACCTGCCTGGCTTGTCAGGAAGGCCTGACGATCGTGAATGAGGTCTGCACAGCGCCCAAGGAGTGCGCAGCTGTTGAGTACTGGGATGAGGGCACTCACAGGTGCCAGCCATGTCACAGGAAGTGCTCCCGCTGCTCGGGGCCTGCCGAGGACCAGTGCTATACCTGCCCTAGAGAGACTCTTCTTCTCAGTGAGTTACACCATACATCAAGGCCGGCTGTGCCAACTCTCTCCACATGAGCCTGCAGGGTGTGATGTTGGTGCCCCGTGGCCGTTAACTTCTTCCTGTCCTTCGCTTATTTTTCTTTACATTTCTTTCATGTTTCTTAAACCTACAGAAAACAGACAAGATGGGATGGTCCAAGGAACACACTGCCCTTTGCCCACTTCACCCACTGCTAACCTTCATCTTCCCCATCCCCATGCACTTGCTAATCCACAATCTACCTTCACTTTGAAACACTGAAGGGGAAGCTAGACACGTTTGAGTCCCTTTCCCCGTGAACATTTTGGTCTATGTTTCCTAGCACAGAGACAATCCCTTTCATTACACAGGACATTGTCAGCACGAATAAATTTGCATTGACACAGTGAGTGATGGCTGAGCGGTTTAGAGCACTTGTTCTTGCGGAAGACTCAGGTCTGGTTCCCAGTGTCTGCAGTGACTACAATCATTGAAACTCCACTGCCAGGGGATCTGACGCCTCTTCTGACTTCTGTGGGTTCGGGCACAAATGATGTACCTATACCAATATGCAGACAAAACAGTAATACACATAAAACAAATAAGTCTAGAATGTTTTAACTCTACTGTTCATAATAAATGGTCCCAGCTCCCTTTAGGACAGGGTTTGGGATAAGGTCTACATGCATTTGCCTTTCGGATCTTGTAGCCTCCTTCATCTGGGACACAATTTGCTTTTATGCTATTTTATGCTGTGGACCCTTTACAAGAATTCAATCCCTATTCTTTCTTTTGAGTTGGCAAGTGGCTCCCTCATGACTAGATGGTGGGTGTACTTTCTCAGGCAAAAGAGGTAGCTTATATCCTCTGAGAGCCATGTCTGGAGTAGTGTGAGATCCACCTGCCTCTTGTCAGTGGTATTCATGTAGATCCTCTCCTCGAGATGATTCCATTTCTCCACTGACTCCCCGGTACTGAGTGGTCTGTGCACAGACACCTTGAACATGCAGCTGTCCCACTCTTTCTCATAGTTGCCTCTGGATTCAGTATTTGCTGATGAAGTCATCGTTTTGACTAGGTGTGATGGCACATGCCTCTAATCCCAGTACTGGAGATGCTGAGACAGGAGAATCTCAAGTTCAAAGCCACTATGGGCTACACGTAGCAAGACCCTGTATCCAAAAAGTGGAAAAGCAGGACATAGTGGCCTATGCCTGTAATCCCATCACGCAGGAGGTGAAGTCAGGAAGACAAGGAGTTTAAGAGTAGCCTGAGCTTTATAGGAAGTTTGAGGACAGCCTATATAAGACACTGTCTCAAAAACAGTCAATCAATTAATCAATGAGTTAATTTATTAAAAAGAGGTGAATGCATGGAAGCCCACAAAATATTGGCATTATTTTCCCAGTCGGTAGACTAGACCTCCAAGGGAAATAATCACAGTAAAAATAGGTGGCCAGCTTCCTGCTCTTGGTGAGAGAGCATCAGGAAGGCCATGCTGGTCCCTCTCAATAGATGACCCTTGGAAACACCAGTCTTCTTTGCCTATTTTAGGTCGGTGAACTTCCTTTCTCAAAGTTATTCCTCTTAAAAATAGCCCTCTAAGTGGATCTCTCACACAATCTCACCCACTAGGACATTCTCTTCCAATAACGGCCAATCTAGCATCACCTTAGATACCTTCTTGCAGAAAGGAAGACATTCATTAGAGAAGGTCTTCCCTTAATCTGGGGATGTAAATGGATTAGGGTTACATCTAGATACAGAGACTGCCCTCAAAGACTGGGCATGGGATTTGCCCTGGCCTGATCCCCTCACACTCTCTCCTTCCTGCCCCATACCACCAGAAACAGGCTGCTTAAAAACAAGAAAGCTTTTGGAAGACTGTGATAGACTAATTATGCTCTCCTTGAAGGTGTCACGCCATAATCTCTCAGTCCTTCAATTATATATTTTATATGGTAAAGGAGGCTGTGTAGCTGGGCTTAATGAAAGATCTTGGCAGAGAGATATTGGTTTTAACAGATGAGACCAATGTAATCACAAGAGTCTGATAAGAACAGAATTGATTGGAGGTATATGTTGATGAAATCAGAAGGACAAGGAGGATATTACCCTCAGAAGAGAAGGAGCTCCTGAGCTCATGAACACAGACACCCTCTAAAAGCAAACAGGGGAAAACCAGACACCCCACAGCCTCTAAAAGGAATGTAGCTCTGTACACTCATTTTAGATTTCTGGCCTCTGGAGTAGTGAGACGATCCATTTCTGTTTGAAAGCCACAAAGTATAGGCGGAATTTTCTGTCTAGACTGTCAATCAATTCTGTCCCACCAACCGCTCCGCGAATAACCACACAGAGACTTATTATTAATTATAAATTCTCAGCCAATAGCTCAGGCTTCTCTTAAACCAGCTCATACAGCTTAAATTAACTCATTTCCATTAACCTATGTCCTTCACCAAGGCTCATTTACCTTATCTATGTACTTCCTATGTTGCTTCTTTAAGGCTCAAGACTCCTCCAACTCTGCCCCCCCTTCTTCCCAGCATCCTCTCTGCCCTCAGTTCTCCAAAACCTCTATGGTTAATTTTGGTCAGATAGTAGTTAGCGCTGCCCTCTGACTAAAACCAACTTGATTGTCAGTCTCAGGAGTATCAGAATGCAATCAAAACATCACACAACAACAAATTTCATGGTCAGTGTTATAGCAACAGTAGAAAACGAAAGCAGAGGTACCCAACCACCCTCAACGGCCATAGCCCCAGCCTGCACTTCCCGTTCTGCCTGTCGTGGCCTGTCCATGCTGACCTCTATCATCACTGATATCAGTCAGCCCACAGGACCTCATCTCTCCTTTCATGTGATGCCTCCTTGCCCAAAAAAAGGATTGTGGAAGCCACAGGTCAGGCTTTCTGTCAAGACGGATTCTTTTCCTTCTTCAACAGACACAACCTGTGTTAAAAGCTGCCCAGAAGGCTACCACACTGACAAGGACAGCGGCCGGTGTGTGCCCTGCCACAACTCCTGCAGGACCTGTGAAGGACCCCACAGCATGCAATGCCACTCCTGCCGACCTGGCTGGTTCCAGCTGGGCAAAGAGTGCTTGCTGCAATGTAGGGATGGGTAAGAACCTTCTCATTCTGTAGTCACTCCAGGTGGCAAGCCTTTTGCCAATGAGGAGAGGAGGGCTCAGAACACACAGAGCCACGGGAAAGCCGCCCTGCCTGTAGGGAACAAATATGAGTCAGGCTGTAATAAAGGACAAGAAAAGAGAGAAACTGTGTCCTAGTGAGAGAACTCACTAAATCAGGTGGTCCTGTCTCCTCGGGGCCTGGCCTCACTGACAATCCATAGATACACGCGGTCTCAATGCAGAGCGGTTCCTCCCCCCTCAGAATGACCCAACATGCATTAGTAGCGGTTCTTTTTCTTCAGTTTTAGGGTCTTGTGTGATTCGGGGATAATATGCAAAACCTAAGCAGTGCAGCTGGGACACTGATCATACAGGGGGAGCAATTCAGGTACCATCGCCATTTACACGCGTGGATTCTGTATCCTGCCAGACCTCCACAAATAGCCAGCTCCACAATGCACAGTCTTGGCTCTAAACCTTGATGCTAATATGAAATGCTGATATAAAAGCAGCTTGTGAATAAGAGCTTGATTGTTTTCCTGCTAAGAACACTGTTGGTGTGTATATTAGGTTTGACTACACGCACTCTGGGAAGAAGGCTCGGTGGGGCCTCAGGATTCCACACACCCCCAAATACACACACACTTTCCCAATTAGTAATCCGGGGCCCAGAGAGGTTCCAGACCCAAATCGAAGGACCTTCCCCGAATGATTTCACCCCAAAGGGTACCTTTCTTCAGCCCTAAGTGATATCTGCATGTCTCATGTATTTTGGTGCTGTATATTGGCTCATGTTCCTGCATATCTCATTTGTTCCCACATAGTCCACACAGGTTGGGTAAGAGCACCTTGTATGTCTGGATACGCTGAGTTAAGCCCATGCTTTATACTTCAAAGGCTTATCCTTGTCCCGGCATCTTCTCATGGAAAAGTTCCTGGAAGTAAAACATCTCTTATTTTTCATGTGTGCCACCTCACACGCAATCCAGAGGCACTTCTTCAGATCTGGGGCAAGAACTAGCCATATGCATTAATGTGACCTGGTCCTGCCAGCAAGGATCATGGAGATGCGGATGTGAGCCACACCACCTCTGTCCGTGTCCTTACCATCTCAATCTGATCCAGAGGGTATCTGCTCCCCTTCAGCACGTACTGCTGTGTTAGACTGGGAGTTGGCAGATAAGCCTTTTCACACCATCTCCTGTTTGACCCTAAGCAAATTCTCTAAATGTTCTAAGCCATGTGTTTCGGATCTATGCTATTTGGAGTGGCAATACAAATTCAGAAAGTGTGCCGCGAGAAGTAATTTAAAAACCCACAACTAACACAAACATACACTGTTTAGAGAGTTCTAGTCTCTAGAATAACAACTTTCTCGAGTCTAATCACAGTGCTAGTAATAGCCCCGTGTTACAAATGAGGAATATGAGGCCCAGAGATATTCAGTGACCCACCCAAGGGCACACAGCTCATTAGGTGGTACTGCTGGGAACCGAAACCACACTTGTTCCAGAGCCTACATCCCAACCACCACAGTGGTCTCTTGTTTTCATGTTCAATGGGATGAAGTGTTTCTGAAGTCACTAGGGCATCATCAGGCACACAGCAGAGCTTATCAAATGGCTGTTAGTGTTAGCATATTGACTCTCCAAAAATCTTTTCAAATGCCTTTACATTTATTTTATAAAGACAAACATCAATCATGTGACCCTGTATTTAAAAAAAATTTAAATTGAAAAATTGGAAGATATATTAAGAGGTACATTTTAAATTGCCTTTTGAGCTGGATGTTGTGGTACATGCTTGCGGTCATTGCCACAGTCCCACCACAGCCTGGGATCGGGTCCTGGGGTGGGGAAGGGGTGTAGGTGAGAAAAAAATGATGTCCAACCACCAGATGAGTTTCACACAAGTTGCCAGCCCTGAATAGCTCTAGCCATTTTTATTTATATATAAAAAGCAATCATGTTAGCATACTAACAGACAAGTTTTTTCCACCCTTCAACGTTAACCTTCAGCAAAAACAAATATGTCAAAAAAAAATTTTTCCCAACTTTTACATCAAAGTATCTTTAAACCAGAAACAAGACTGACCGTTTTGCTAGCTTGACCAAACATCAAGCCAGGTACATTCTGTCTTTACAAAACTAAAAGGTGATTGATATAGACGCACATTTTCAAGAACAACAATCTTGTTCAAAACATATTTACAGAAACAGGGTTAATCTGCCCTATCCTGTAAACACTGAATCGGGACAGCTCCCAGGGTCTGAAGTGACACCTGGCATCCCCAGACAAGAAAGCCGAGAATTATCAACTCCCCAAGAATTCTAGGGGAAAATATTCAAGAAAAAAAATGGGGTTTCCAGAAATGATCACGTCTGTCCCATTGACAAAATGATACTATAACCACCAAGAGAATCACTACCATTACGACAGAAAAGAGGGCATGCAGGTCACAAGGTTCCAGCAGTACTCTGCACTGTCCCAAAGTAGACTGATTCTGGCTGAGTGAGACTGTCCCCATGGACTTTTGCCTCATCTGGAGACCTGTTAGACAAGCATACATACACTGGTCCAAAATAGTCCTCATGACTATTTTGACAAGTCACAACAATTGAAGGGCTGAGGCAAGGTATTTGCTATGCATTTGAGGAGCGCTACAAGAGTTAAAATCCAGTCTGACTATACATGGGAGATTCAGTATATTCAGAAGGACGGTGGTGGTGGTGATGATGATGATGGCGATGATGATGATGATGATGATGGTGGTGATGACGATGGTGGTGATGATGATGATGGCAATGATGATGATGATGATGGTGGTGGTGATGACGATGGTGGTGATGATGATGATGGCAATGATGATGATGATGATGATGATGATGATGATGATGGTGGTGATGACGATGGCGATGATGATGATGACAATGACAATAATAATGACTATGACGATGATAATGATGACAACAATGATGACGATGATGATGACGATAAGATGAAAGCAAAGCTCTACCACCCAGGGTGTGCCTCAGCAAAGGTTAAAGTTAAATCTGGAGATGTCAAAGGAAGAACAGGTAGTGGCGATGATGGCAGAGAACTGTTGAGCCACCACTGTGTGTGGCTTTGGCCTTATCATAGGTGCTTCCAGCTCCATGTTGACACACAGCCGGGGGTTAGGATGCTATAACACTCAGTACATAGAGGAGGGAACCATCACTCGCTAGGTTCGTTGGAGTTTTGGCAATTATTCCATGAGGAAGGTTGAGTGAAGAGACGGAAGAGGCCAGGCCAGTGAGTGAACCCTGTGTGACACAGCCCTTAGCCCAAGCAGAGCCCATTCAGCCCTCCACATTCTCAGCATCCATACTTGATTAGGAACTGGAAATTAAAAAAAAAAAAGTATCTCTTACTGAACACAAGTTTTTTTCTTGTTATTATTTCTGAGCCAACGTAGCATACCAACTATTCCCATAGCATGTTTACCGCACTGAGTCATTTAGACATGGCTGAAGGCAGAGTTAATGTGCAGACACTATGACTGTGACATTTTATACACAGAAATTGTGCACACATGGGTTTTAGTGTCCACCTGCCAATCCCCTGAGACACTGAGGAATCTGTGTATATCTCTGCTCCTCTCTTGGTTTCAGATATTATGGAGAAAGCACCAGTGGTCGTTGTGAGAAGTGTGACAAGAGCTGCAAGGCATGCCGGGGCCCGCGGCCCACAGACTGCCAGGCTTGCGATACATATTTCTTTCTCCTGCGCTCCAAGGGCCAGTGTCACCGCACCTGCCCAGAGCACTACTACGCAGACCAACAGGCGCAGACCTGTGAGAGGTGCCACCCAACGTGTGACAAATGTAACGGTGAGCATATGCCTGTGTTTTGTATATGAAAATGGAAATTTAAGAGGGTTTCCTTCCTGTGTGGCCCCTCTCTGCCTCTTCCCGTGTTGGCGCCATTTCCCAAACTTTTCCTCCAGCCTCTCCAGCATTGGCACACTCTCTCCAATCTTAGTTTCTACAACATCCTTGCTGCCTTTTAGGCTTCCTGTCTGTCAAGGCTGACACAGGGACCAATGTTCTATTCCTGCTCCCGACTTCCTTCTCCACCAGTATGACCCCATCACTGTGAAAAATCCCTGAGAAAAACAGTCTAAGGGGAGAAGGGCTTGTTCTGGCTGCGGAGGCTTTGGTCTGCAGTGAGCTTTCTCTGTCGCTGAGGGCCTGTGACGAGGCAGAACATCTTGGCAGCAGGATCATGCTGGATGCAGAGAAGGTCAGCTTCTGGCAGATGAAAGTGGAGACGAGGAAGGGTAAGGGAAGCAGGCACACTTCTAGGGCAAGCCCAAGTGCCCTGCTTCCTCCCACTGACCCTACTTTGCACCATCTCCCAAGAAAGCCATTAAAATTGTGACTCCATCACAAGATCCATCCACTGATGAAGTCAAGATCTAATTGCCTCTCCAGAGTCTATCCTCCCCCCAGGACAGGAGTCTGCCAGTGCAGACATTTCGTATTCAAACTGTAACACCACTGAAAACACCTGTCTAGGAAAACATGTTATGTTCATCTGTTTAAAAACTTAAGATATCTGCCTTGCTGAGTGATGGTGGTGCACGCCTTTAATCCTAGCACTCAGGAGGCAGAGGTAGGCAGATCTCTGTGAGTTTGAGGATAACCTGGTCTACAGGGTGAGTTACAGGACAGGCTCCAAGGCTATGTAGAAAACCTATCTCAAAAAAAAAAAAAGACTTCTTCCTCAAGCTTTCCCAAGCTCCAGTGTTATTTTTCTGATGTCTGCTCATTCCAGAGACCTTTCCTAAGTATCCCTCATATTGGATGTCCTTCTGGATTCTTACTATCCTCATTACTTGCCCAGAATTCTCAAATGACCCAGACTGTTGCCAAGACAATGGGTTGCTAACCACAAAATGATAGGTGGGTCCCATTGCTTAAGGATAACACCCTCATAATTCATTGACCATGGAGAAGCTATCTGGTGCTTACATAGAACATTTACTCCTGTGTCCTAGTGTCTTTAGTGTAGGTAAGCACTTGCAAGCTACCAAAAGAGAAATGTAAACACCAACCCAGCCACAAAACCTTTGATCTACAATCCGTCCCACCTGCAAGATATGTTAAGGCAATGTGGCCCAGAACTTGTGGGAGTAGCCAGACAATGTCTGATTTAACTTAAGGCCCTCTCTATGAGACTCTTCTTGGGTGACCAAGAACCAGTTACTAGATATCACAGAGACCTTGAGGACAGCCTAAATAACTAGTCTTTAAAATAAAATGTTATAAAAATCTTTCCCTATTCAAATCCCCTTAGCTCTTATCCCACATATTCTAGAGCCAAGAACCGAGTCTAGGGCTTCTGTGTGTTCATGCACATCTTTGGTTTTCTTTCAGTGTGCATGTGTGAGCATGCGTGTGTGTGCGTGAGCATGTGTGTGTGTGTGTAGATGAGGCTGACTTAACCTCACAACCCTCCTACCTTAGCCTCCCTAAGCCGGAATTATAAGCAATTGACACCATATCGGGCCATTACCATCAGTGTCTTGATCCATTTGCATCTACTTCTTCCCAAGTGGTTTTCATGACTCTATTCCTCCGTGCATCAGGTTTCTTGCTGAGTATCTCCCATGAGATATCCAACAGGCACCCCAAACCTCACTCCATCCTCAGACCACATTTTCCCATTTCTTCTCTTGATGAAAGGCTCCAGTATGCTCTCTGTTGCCTGACACAATAACTGGCATTAACCTTTTCTCTTCTGGATCTCTCCGTCTCCCTGTGTGTCTCTGGGTCCTGTGGCATCTTAAATAGCTCCCAATGTCAGCTCCTCTCTCTAAGTCATTAGTGTCACTGTCTTGGTTTTGGACTCTCATAGTTTGTTGTTTAAATTACCAATTAGTACCAGTCGGCTAAGTGGTCTTCTCATCCCCAGTGTGAGCCACGTCATGGCCATCCGATCCTCCAAGCTGTCTGATTGATCTTACACAGTGGATACAGCCCTATGCTGATTTTCAGTCTACCGTTTGATATCTGCATATGAGGCTCTTCCCCATGGCCTGCCCTCACTTTCGCCCTCATGCCTCACTACCTCTTCCTCCATCTTCCAATCCAAGCACAGTGACTTACTGCAAATCTGAGCCAATCTCACCTACTGCCTCTCTCCAGAACCCTCCTTCAGCCTGCTCTGCCAGGTCTGCGTTCTGCTCCATTACCTTGGGTATGTTTTCTCTAAGGCCTTTCCCAGCCTCCCATCCGGGGTTCTCTTACAAGTCTGTGTATCCATTCATCTGTTTATTTACTTAGCAAATATCATCCGGCTCTGTGGCTCAGCCAATGTCCATACAATTATGGACAAAGCAGACCAGGTCCCTGGAAGCCAGGTTGGTTTGCTTGGTGTAATTTTCATTCTTAGTTTTGTTTTTTGGAAATTGTTCTTATGATTAAAAAAAAAGACCAAAACAACAACAATAACAAACAACAAGAGTGGGTTCTAGCTCACAATCCCAGGTTGCAGTTCATCATCATGGCAGAGAAGTCAAAGAAGCAATAACTTAAAACACCCAGCCACATCCACACACAAGCGTGATAAAAATGAGATGTCGGCATATGACTGTATTGTCATTTGCTAAGTCAGAGAGCACCAGTTTCTACCCATTAATGCTGCTCAGCGGGCCAGTAGCAGGTACTTAGCTTCTAATTAAGACTAGGCAACCATCATCCGGTAAGTTAATGTCTCTTAACTGAGGCACACCAGAGCCGAGCACCAGCCATAGCAGAACGTTTGTGTGTGGACTGGAGATATCATTTATGATGTCACAGGACAGTGTAAGAAATCTCTATTTCTCCACTGGCCTGGAGATTTCCTTCTAAATTAAGGATTGACAGCTTTGAGCCTTCCGTGTCCAAGTTCTGATAGCAACACAGGATCCCCAAAGCAGGATTCAGGGGTGACTGGCAGGACTGGGCAGATCTGGAGAAAGCCCATATGATCTGGTCTCCTCTGTCTTCCTGCTTGGGGTGTGGGCCCTGGAACTCACACAGCTCTCATTTCCTTCTGGCCTTGGCGTTCAGCATCCTCTACTGACCTGTCTTTACATGCTATACACACCTCCTTTGCTAGCCAGTGACTCATGCACTCACTCTGGTTTTGTAACACACAGATCATGAAATTTTGGCATCCCCACCTTAGGCTATAAAATGAATAGAAAAAAAAGTGTAAATTTTTCTGAAGCCTTAACTGTCATACTAAGAAATTAAGATGTAGGGGGAAAAAATCTAGAAAAATTGGGCAGTCTAAATCTACAGTGAGACATCCACCTTTGATTGTCCAGTAATTTTGGTTGTTAGAAAGAAAACTTTCTGGAGACAGAGACAGAGACCCACATTGGAGCACCAGACCGAAATCCCAAGGTCCAAATCAAGAGCAGAAGGAGAGAGAGCACGAGCAAGGAACTCAGGACCGCAGGGGGTGCACCCACACACTGAGACAATGGGGATGATTTATCGGGGGAACTCACCAAGGCCAGCTGGCCTGAGTCTGAAAAAGCAGGGGATAAAACCGGACTCGCTGAACATAGCGGACAGTGAGGACTACTGAGAACTCAAGAACAATGGCAATGGGTTTTGATCCTACTGCACGTACTGGCTTTGTGGGAGCCTAGGCAGTTTGGATGCTCACCTTACTAGACCTGGAAGGAGGTGGGGGGTCCTTGGACTTCCCACAGGGCAGGGAACCCTCACTGCTCTTTGGGCTGATGAGGGAGAGGGACTTGATTGGGGAGGGGGAGGGAAATGGGAGGCGGTGGCGAGGAGGAGGCAGAAATCTTTAATAAATAAATTTAAAAAAAAAAAGAAAGAAAACTTTCTGATGAGCATGTGGTGCGCACCTGTAAATCCAGCACTTAGAAGACTGAGACAGGAGGATTATGAAAGTTTGAAGTCAACTTGGGCTACTCAGTGAAAAGGAAGAAGGGTGGGAACGGAAGGGAGGGGAGAGAAAAGGAAGGGAGAGGAGGGGAGAGATGAATAACATTCTGAAGCTCTGGGAGTCAGGGAGGGGATGCTTCACACACTTCCCTCATCTATACCACTGGGTGTGGCTGGTGCCACCACCGGAGTTCCTTTGTCCCTTAACACACTTCCCTTCTACTTTATCCTCATACAGTTGTAAGCCCTGCCCTTTCCTATGCTGCCTCTTTCCTGCACAGCCTCTCTCACAGAAGCACCACAGGGCCACCCAGCAGGAGTGGGATTTGTCAGGTTGACTTCGAGGGAGGGATGAAAATAGGGGAGGTCAGGGTGAGGAAAAGCAGATGGTACGTCATTCTGAATTTTAAGGACATGTCAAAAGGTCTGTCTTTCCAGCCTCGAGGCTCCTTAGAAATAGTAATAGGCACAGGCTCTTCACCTTGGAAAACAAAAAACAAAACAAAACAAGAAAACAAAAACAAACACTCTGGAAATTAACCCTCTGTGAAAGATCCCGCATGCCTGGGTGTGCAGCAAAGCAGGACACGGAATGAAGTCACTGATTTCCACCAAGGCTGACACACACCGCTGAATACTGCCATCTGGACTTCAGCCAGATGGGGAAGGGCACAGTCCACAGGTCAGACACAGGGGGAGGAATGGTAACCTGCCGCACAGCAGGGAGCTGTGGACATAATAATCCATATTTCAAACCATCTAGCAAAGGGAGTTCGGGATCCTCAAGGAAACCACATTTGATGTGATAGGAGGAGAAATAAAGACTTCATAATCGTTCCTTCCTGGTGCTGCAGATGGATCCCAGGGCTCTCCTTGAGTATGCTGGGCAGGAGTCTACCACGGACGACACCCTGGCCCCTTGGGTTTCAGAAGCATCCCACAAGACTTCTCATTTTCGAAAGATCTTTTGCTGTGACACACAACTGCCCTCAAATTCTCCGTGTCCAGACAGAGAGTCTCTCGGAAAAGACTCACTTTGCCTTTGTAGACACTTATTATATCTTCAGTCACCTGTCTGCTTCAATTAACTTGACAGTTTCCTTACTCTCAAGTGTTCTGACATCAGGTCAGAGGTTAGAATCTGAAATCTGTCTCATAATATGATTCTTCCCCCGCCTCTCTTTCAGGAAAGGGAGTATGGAATTGCTTGTCCTGTGTGTGGAGCTACCACCTTCTGGGAGGAATGTGTGCCTCGGACTGTCCTGTAGGGGAATACAGAGATGGAGAGGTACTGAACCCTTGGGTTGGTGTATGCACCCTCACCTCCACCCCACCCTTATGGAGCTCAATTCCTACATGTCATTCTGAGAAGTGAAACCATCCAAATTCCTACACTCACCACAGCCTAGGTTTAACACTGTACCACCTCATTCGTTCATAAAGTAGTCAAGCTACCAACTTACAGCTTCCACTTGAACTTCATAGGAACTGCAAGGGTCTAAGGTGGCTTGGGCCCTGGTGTGGTTCTGGGTGACCACAGGAAGCTCAGTCCCCTGTTACAGCAAAGTCTCCCTGCTTCCTAAGCAGTCTTGGGAACACAGGAGGAAGCTCGCTGGCCCCCTCTTTGCTTTCCTCCCTATCTTACAGTGAGGCCAGGGTAAGGACCCTTTCCGGGAGCCACAGATTTCCTGACCTTCTCTTCTTGATTGTGTTTCTAAATTTGCGACCATAAGAAAATACATCGATGGTGAAATCAAAACAAATCAGCATATACATGCATACATATATATGTACATACTCGCTTTGAATTCTGATAGCATACTTCAGTTCACAGAGGCAGGCTCAGAGAAATCAAACAGTTCACTAACTACCACATGGCTAGAAAGGAAGAGAGGGAGAAGGGCGCTCTGAAGATTTGACAATAACAGCTGAAAACAATCAGCAGCCAAAATGCATCAAGATGCTTCAAGAAAAGCCATTTTCATCTCTTTTTCTTTTCTTTTCTTTTCTTTTTATATATTTATTTTCAGGAGTGCCTGACACTTGCTCCACCACTGAGCACCCAACTTTCTGTTTCCCCGCATCTTCCATGTCACTGAAGTTACAGATAAACAATAGGAAGGGATCTTCTGGGCCGGTGAGATGCCTTAGTAGGTAAAAGTGCTTGCTGCGTGTACAACTTGAGTGCAGTCCTTAGATCCCATGGAGCAAGGAAAGAAGCAGCTCTTCAGAGTTGTCCTTGGGCCTCCACATGCACGCCTTGTTATAGATGCACCTGCACACACACGCATACACACACACACACACGCATACACACACGCACACTCGTGCATGCGCGCGCACACAAAATAATAATAATTTTTAAGGTAAAATGTCTTTCTCTAATTCATATTTCTAACACCCGACAAGAAGAGAGTTATTGCCATGGACTTTGAACTCCTTTCCAGTGAGTTTTAAGTGTCTTCGTTATAACCACTAATTATACTCTAAGTCTAGGAACCACAAGAATCCAGGAACCACAGAAGGCAAATAAGTAACTAATATAAAAGAGTAAAAGCCACAGAAAGCCATAGCACTAATTTGATAAAAATCAGAAATCTAATCCCAACATTCAGGAGACTGAGGGCCAAAGCGGGAGATCATGAGTTTGAAGTCAGCCCGGGTTACATAACAACAAGAGGAACAGAACTGTACATAGCACACAAAAGTAAAAAGGATAGAAATGTATGTATCATCTATGTGTTGATAACAGATTGCGGGATGCTGGGAACTGCATCAATTTGGAGAACATCAAGAAGGGACCGCTGCCATTCTCCTGTGCTCCTGACATTGCCAAGGGAGGGTGATGACTTCAGCTTTAACAGAGCTAGATTTTGAGAAGGAATTAGGAACTGACTCATGTCTGGAATATCACTTTTGCAATGTGGAGTAGTGTGGGAATGTATAGTCTGCCAAGGGGTATGGCAAAGGTCAGATACAACTTGTCCTTGACTCCTGCTGTCTTTGAGGTAGGACTGCTCTTCCAGAGAACCCAGGTTCAATTCCCAGCACCCACATGACAGCTCACAACTGTCTATAACTCCAGTTCCAGAGTATCCGACACCCTCACATAGACACACATGCAGACAAAACACCATTGCACATAAAAATAGATAGTTTTTTAGCAGCCATTCCCCCTCACACACACATTCACATTCTTCCCTATTCACAGAGACAAGAGGGATTAGCCACGGAGAACTCCAGTTCCTGCTTACCACCTCTGCTCTCAAAAACATTCTCTTTGCTGTTCTTACCAGGGAGAAAACTTTAGCTGCAAAAAATGCCATGAGAGCTGCATAGAGTGCAAGGGACCCGGAGCCAAGAACTGCACTGTGTGCTCAACTGGCCTGCTGCTGAACATGGACGACAGCCGCTGCCTCCGCTGCTGCAACGCTTCCCACCCCCTCGGCTCCCAGGACTGCTGTGACTGCCAGAGTACCACAGGTGAGGGCTAGGGGACACAGCACACAGAGAAATGGCGTGTCCTCTTGGGAGCGGAGTGAGAGGAGTATGGCTAGTACATGAAGTGCCTGGTGGGTGCCTACTGTTCTTGAAACCTCCTGGTTCACAAGTTGGGTTTGTTCCTCACACAACAAATATCCAATGAAACCTATTAAAAGGAGGGTTTATGCTGGCTCGTGGTTTCAGAGATCACTTGGCTCTGTTGTTTCTAGGCAACGGTAAGCCTCAGCATCACAGTCGACAGCATGTGGCAGAGCATCACAGCTCACCTCATGACAGTCAGGAAGCAGAGACTGTTGAGAAAATATGTCTTTCCAGGATATGCCCCTGTTGTTGTTGGTATCTTACTCTTTAGTCTTTACTCTTTTGGGCTCTTTTGTTCTTTTACCTTTTTGAGGGGCCCTCCATCCAGTTCCCAAATAAATACATAAAGGCTTATTATTACTTATAAATGCCCAGCCTTAGCTTAACTTGTATCTTGCCAACTTTTCTTAACTTTAAATTAACCTGACTACCTTTTGCCTCTGGGTTTTTTTTTTCTTTTCTTACTTCTGTATATCTTACTTTACTCCTATTCCACAGCTGGCCTCAATGTCCTCCATTCCTTATTCCTTCTTCCTCTCCTCCAAGATTTTTTCCTCCCATTTATTCTCTCTGCCTGCCTGCCTCCACCTATCCTCACTACTGACCATTCCACTCTTTATTAGACCATCAGTTAGACAGGCACAGTAACACAACTTCACAGAGTTAAACAAATGCAATATAAACAAACAGACCTTCAAATAATATTCTACATCATGCCCCCAGGAACCCATATCTACCTAAAACCCAACACCAAGGTCCCCAACCTCCAAATAATGTCATCATATTAGATATCCATCAACAGAATCCACATTGAATAGATCAACCCCTTAGGACCTGTCACTCCCCAGAAGTTCATCAGCTAGTAGCCAAGCCCCAAGACTTTGGAGGAAATATTTCAGGCTCAAAATTGTAATCAAACAGACCCTGTATTATCAACAGAAAGACAGAGGCCCAAGGGTTGGATTAACATGCACACGTCCACAGCAATGATACGAGGGCAGGTCATCTAGAACAAGGCTTGGTGCTGTGTACATGAACCTGAGTGCTTCGGACAGAGAGGAAGACCAGAGTTGGGGGCCACTCTCAGCAAAACATGCAGTCTGAGGTCATCTGGGGCTTCCTCAGCTTTCTGAGACTGGACTTCATCTTTAAAAAAAAAATCACAAACATGCAAGCACACACACATGCACACCCTAGATGCTCATCTGGGATTTGAACATAAGCCTGTTGGACTGCAAAACCCCAAAGCCCACATTCTTTTTACGTCTGTGCTGTCCCTAGCTGGACTAAGTCTAGATCTGACCTTTATAAATGCAGTTTGCTCCTTTTTATCTTTGCTCCTGAGGGAAAGGGGAAAGGAATTGCTTACCTTGATAACATTGAAGAATCAATCTAATTCATACTGAGCCATTTTGTTAGAGCGTTTTAGAAATGGACTATCACTGAAAACTAAGAATAGATGAAACAGCTTGACCAATTCCAAGTCTTTAATTGTCCTCCAACTTTCAACCCCATTGTGTATATTAAAACTTACAAAGATCCTAGGGTCTGGAGATGGTTCAGGGGTTAAGAGCTGCCATATGACTGCTTACAATGTGTGCGACTCTAGCTTCAGGAGATCCAGTGCCCTCTTCTGGTCTACCAAAGCAACAGTCACACATGGTGTGCACATTTATGCATGCTGGCAAAATACTCATGCATACAAGCACCAGGCAAGAGTTTTACCACTGAATCACCAATGCAAAGCCACTCATGCACATAAAAATAAAAATGAATACATCTTTAAAAAAAAACTTAAAGATTCTGAATGGAGTGATCCCTTCTAAGTGAAAACCACATTCTTAAAACAAATTCTCTCCTCCAGAAATAGACCATTTCCTTGGGATTCAGAGGTGTCATGCCTACCCAAACCAGTGTTATGTTGTTTTGTCCTGTGCATTCGTAAGTAAAGAAAACCTGAGACCCATAACCAATACCAACCTCGTGTCCTGTTCTGTTCTGTTTTAGCCTTTTACTTAGTTTCCAGGTATCACCGTTCCAAGGATTAACCATTTCCTTCCTCAGTTGCCCACCAAGAGCAGCTGGTGTCCCCAGATCCTCATCTCCATGCCCCTCAGGATCTGATGCTGGGCCCTCAGCTGATGTAGTAGTAGGGCCTCAGCCCTCATTACATCAATGTTTTTAAATGAAACCAGAAAAACAAGAACCTCTTGGGTGTAGTTTCTGAAATGTCAGTTCCAAGAAACAACTTAATAGATTTCCTGGTTGCTAAGAGGCTCTTAAAGAGTTATCTGAGGCAACCCTACCAAAAGAAGTACAAATCCTCTTGGGCTAAGGATACAACTCCACAGTGGAAAGTTACTATAGTATGTGTGTGGAGAGAAATAACAAGCCCAGAGAGCCGAGCTTACTTATATCTTTATTTCTGAGACAGCTTCCCCCTGAAGAGAGAGAGCAAATGGTAGAGAAACCAAATGGTAGAGGCTGGCCCTGACCCAGCACCCGAAGACTAAGAATAGTAAGATGTGAGTGCATTTGGCACCCTGAAAAGAAAACAACCTCCAAAGGTCCATTGTAGATTCTCCTGCCTCAGGAGCTGCGAGCCACAGCAGATCACTTCTCTGTCCCTTTAGTGTGTTTGTATTTCCCCAGGAGCTACGAGTCACAGACAGATCACTTCTCTGTCCCTTCAGTGTGTTTGTACTTCCTGCAGGGGAAAAGTCTGTGCTAACCCAATACAATAACGATAATATTATTATTTAGAGCAAACATTTTTGCTTGATGGGCAAAATTCTGTTAGAATAAAATAGAAATTAAACACCAACAAAATAAAAGAAAGAGTGTGTGTGCATATATGTGTACATGCATGCATGTGTGTGATATGCGTGTGCACATGTGCGTATTGCGTGTGTGTTGTGTCTCACAGGGGCCACTCAGTCACAGGAGTCCTTGCAAGGTCCTTGTGGAGGGACAGACAAATTTGAAAAGGGAGTAAGGCGGGGAGGAGGAAGCATCTATTGTGTGTAAAAGTTTGCACATCCAACCTACAGATACCTATTCCTCTAGCTGTTTCATACTTTCTTTGCCTTACTGTATGGTAGATTAAGAAGAAAAGGTAATAAAATTAGATAAGCAACTCGAGTCGTACTGCCCGAATGAATGACTATAAAACAAGAAAAATCAGCCAAGGCTGAAGTCATGCCGTACACTGTCTTGGTTCTCTGACATCCTCGGGGAAGCCTTGAAACAGCCGCTTTTAAAGAAGAAAGGGAAGGGCTCCAGAATCCAAGAATTCCAATTATGCTATGAATCCTTTGCCATTTAAAATGGCAGTCAGGATTCTAAGATGATAAAGTATTCCTTTCCTTGCTCAGGGAGTGGAATGGGTATTCAAGGAAACCAAACATTCAGTCAGAGAATTTGCCTCCAGAATTCCACCTGGAGTTGAGGTCAATGGGTTGGAAAGTCCGCTTGTTACACAAGCCAGTTCTTGTTTATGACAAACAAGTTGGCCTAATTTCCAAGGCCACACATGACTAAGAGTCAGTAGGGTTTATAAAGTATGCTTCACTGGTCTTGAAGGTAGGAGAGTCATGTGGGACCAGTCTAAAGAATGGTAGGATGGCGTCTCCATCTTAGGAATCAGAGTTACGGTTTAGCAGTAGCTAAAGCAGAAAACACACACACGCACTTCTCAGGAATGAAAAAAAAATCACTGAGAAGGTTGGACCCTTAAAGACTGGTCCATGAGAAATAGAAACCTAGGATTCCTTTTGGATCTTTAAAGTTACCAGAGCATCAGCTGGTTTTATTAGCTATGGACTGGGACTCTCGTGGGGAACACACGTTTTTGTAGAGTGGTGTGACTTCTAAGAAAATGAAAAAAAAAAAAACAATGATTCAACCATTTTAGGCGTTAAAAAAAAAATGGAGGGGCAGTTGTTTATTTCTGAATCTGATGTTCCCACTTCTCTTTCTTCTTTTCTCCCTCGCTGCTGCCTCTGGGGTGGCCTCCCATCAGAAGAGTGCATCCTTCCAGCCAGCGAGGCTGCACCCTTGGAGCACGCCACAATCACTTTGCTGGTGACCTCGGGTGTTATGCTGCTGCTGCTGTTGGGGGCCGCTGTGCTAGTGTGGCGGAAGTCTCGAAGCCAACCTGTGGCAAAGGGGCGCTACGAAAAGTTGGTGGAACCCACCGTGTCATACTCCTCCTACAGACACAGCTATATTGAGGAGGACCAGGTGATTGAGTATAGGGACAGGGACTATGATGAAGATGATGAGGATGACATCGTCTACATGGGCCAAGATGGCACTGTCTACCGGAAGTTCAAGTACGGGCTGCTGGACGAGGAAGAAGATGATGAGTTGGAGTATGACGATGAGAGCTATTCCTACCAGTAATCAAAGCCTAGTGGTCCCCACCGCTCTCAGCCCTGCTGGGAGATACCGTCACGTTGACTGAGGTTCGAGTGTTTGTGCTTTGTCCTAACTTTGTTTCCAACCTGAATAAACAGAGATGCTGGAGTCTGCTGTGCTGCCTTTGACCAACTGAGTGCAAAGAACAGATCCTACAAGGGGAGAATTCAAAGGCACTTTCCTGGAGAGTATGTCAAGACGTTAAATGCAGAAAGTGAAAGGAAGTCAGATCCATTGAACACCAACATGATTCCTAAAATGGACGGGGCAGAGGACCATAAGGACTCTGTTTTCCAGCTGCTTGTTGGAGACCCCTGCTACCTTCTGGAAATCTGCTATTTGACTAGCGGAGAGACAGAGTAACAGAGAGTTCTTGGGTTGGGTGGGAGGTCTCTTCCTTTTTGATTGTGTTTAAGAAGAAAATTTGTAAAGATCAGGAAAATGGGGGCTTGTAATTTCTTTCACAGTACCTCCGGAGGAGCCGAAAAGACCATCTCTCCTGCCAATGCTCAGGACCCAGATAAAATGAAAGGATTGGTGTAGCCTCATAGCTGAGAGAGCTCATACTCACTGAGCTCTGGCTCCTTTGTAGAAGTCCAGAACTGTACCGACCACTGGCAAAGGAAGTTTAGGTAGAGGGCAGGCAGTATCAAGTCCACAAGGACTTAGGTAGAGGGCAGGCAGTATCAAGTCCACAAGGAAGGAAATTGTTTCCAAACATCGCACCCTGGTAATTTTCTAAGGATCTTTTTGATAGGAAGTAATAAAAGAACATGGTAATGGCAACTTAGCACAAAATACAATAATTTCATCCACTCTAAAAAAAAATTGAAAGATGTTAGCTGCTAAATCCGTGCACAGCTTTCACTAATGAGTCATCCAAAAAGCCTGGAATATCCTTAAGAAAAGCTGGGGTAGAGTCTACCATTTACAAACTTTCCGACACGGCGCTCACTGGCTGCAGGCAAGCTGCAAGCATCTGCCCAGCTCTCTTCAGTCCCGTGACTTTTTGTTTCTGGGTCTTCAAAACTTTTCTTGCACTCTGGTCAAGGTGTTCTTAGATTATGCAGCGGTGGGCACTCTCTGCAGATGAGAATTCACAGGGTGGGCGCTGACTGCAGAAAGGCATGGGCAGAGCCTCATGGAGCTCCTTGTGGCAGGCAACGCTGTGTGCGGAACACCAAAAGTGCACCGTGAGAGGGTGATAGTCTAATAAGAACTGCACACTTACCATGGACCAGGTACCAACCTAACTAAGGTATCTTGCCCACTTCGTACTTAACAACTCTACCAGATGATGCCATCCACCCCTTGTTTTTATAGGAAATCTGAGGCTTCCAAAAGGCTAAGCCATTAGTTCAAAGTCACAGACAGCTGATCAAAATTCAAGAAATAAGAATGACCTTGAAGCATTATTCTTAATAACTGTGCTCCACTGGCAGTGTGAAAACAAACATCCTAAACATAATAAAACTAGGTCTATTATTTTATTCTATGACAATTATCCCACACACTATAGTAACATAGGTGGATGTAAGTATGGGAAATCCCTATGCTTGTGTTTCTTTAGAGAAAAGCCCTCAGGACAGAGACCACTAAACAGTCTCTCCCAATAACCAGGTTTCTCCCCAGGCTTTTTGAGCAAAAAAAAAAAACTCTATTGTTATTGTGCAAACTACCATGGGAACATGCTTGGAATCAGTAAAATATTAATGAGTAAACTGGACTCCAGCAAAACTTTATTTAGGGACACTTACTATCTGAATTTCAGACCATTGTCACATATGAAGTAACATCCTTTTGATGGCCGTTTAAAAACATGGTAACTCTGAAGTCTAGCTTCAGACTCTTCAGGCTCCGTGAGTACCACATACACATAGGATCCAGTTCCCAATTTTTGTTCATTTAAAATGATCTCTTCCAAATCCATTTGATTACCATCGTATCAGTGGAAGAATTCATCATTTCTTGCTGTGTAATTCCAGAGTTCAACTATAGAAACAAGTCATTTATATTTATGTATCATTCATATTCCTTGAGAATGTAGAGACGGACTGATCTGCTCTCAAGTAGCCTTAAATTTTTTCCCAGAAAAATATCTGTGTTTGCGATAATGTACACTCTTATAAGACGACTTGAAATACTAAGGAAAAAAATGGTGTTGTTACTCTTTATGATCCACAAGAAAAGGAACCTTGTGCCTGTGTGTGATGAAGACTGGATGCTTACCCAGTCCCTGTCTGTGTACTCATGATACATTCTTCTCAAACTTCCTTTGAATTCTGTCTAACAACTGACTTAATGGATAAATATGTGGTTGAAAAACAGTTCTCAGTTTTCTGCTTGCAAGAAATTTGAAAATGTTAAGACTGAAAATTCACCAGGAGACTGGGTAAAAGTCCAGAAGATTCTGGCTCCCTGAAAGGAATTTTAATTAGAAACAAAGTGAAATCAAGAACAGATTATTCTACAGAGACTTGCTTATTAGCAAACTGTTTCAGGGCATTTTGTGTACATAGTATTATGCTGTACCAAGTAATAGATGCAAAACAGTAGGCATTCCGGGTTGTGTCTGTTTTAATCCATCTCCGCCCAACGCCAAACAAGTTTTACCATTGATGAATTTCCTCCCCAACAGATCAGTCCAGCCCATCTTTCGGCTCCATTACTACAGTCTTGTCCCTGTTATTACTGAATTTCAATCTCTATTTTTTTTCTCACTCTGGCTAGCAAAAGTCATTTGCAGGTAGAATGCTGATGTGGGCTATAATTTCAGCACTCGGGGAACTGAAAACAGAGAAATAGAGCGAGAAAGGGAGACAGAGACAGAGTCAGAGAGACCCTGTGCAGGCCTGACCAGGGTGGATGGAGAAAACGCCTCCTGGAAGTTGTCTCTGACCCACACACGCACACACTCAGGCAGTAGTAAAAGAGCAGCCTAAAGCTAGGCCCAGCTGTTCGCACTGGTGATTCCAGCACTTGGGATGGTGAGGCGGGAGGACCGCCTTCAGAGAGAAGCCAGCTTGGGCTGCAGTGTTTCCCAACAGTGCAGACCAGATCTCAGCAAGTCAAACATGTCACTTCCAGAGTTACTCACAAGGTCTCCTGTAGGCTGCCAGTCTCTCCTAACTATTGTGAAACACGTTTAGCTTCTTGGCACATGGTGCTCACCTATCTTAAGACTTCTCATCCTCCCTGCTCCCAGCTTCCTCATTTATATTCCCACAGCACCAAATCACTTCTAGTCTTTTGCAATACCGTGCTGTTTCTCATACCCTTCAGCATGTGTTGCTTACTCTCTGTGGAAGCTGCCTTCTCAGTCTTGACCAGAAGAAAAGTTCCTGACAATCCTTTAAAATGGGGTCCTCTTGTCACCCAGCCTAGGGCGTCTTCTTTGGTTACTTTCTCATCTTCCTTCTGCGTAGACACTCTGTATATATAGTTTCTTCATGTTATTTGGTGATCCTCTTTACTTGCCTGTATGTACTCAAAATTTGGTACTATTTCAGACTGTTACTGTTCCCTTCCCTGAATATAGCACACAGTGTCTAGAACTTCCAGAGGGGATGGGGGGCTCATGGCCAAGCATAGTTTAATTCCAGTACACAGGTGGCTGAGGCAGGAAAATCACCGTGAGTTTGAGTGGCCAAACTGGATAACAATAGTAAGTTCCTGGCCAGCATAGACTACAGATTGAGACACTGTTTAAAAAATAAAAGCAAACAAACAATACAACAACTTAAAGACGTTGTTAAGGTAAAACCTAGTTCTTAATCCAAAGGGAATAAGAAATAATTGTATCATGAGCCAAATATGAGTGACCATGGCCCAGTGATAGGGACTTAGGTTCCCTAGAGCCATGTGTCCTGCCAGAAAAGTGGTAATGCGCACTTTTATAGTCAGAGAACATAGAGCAAGCATAAGCTAAAATGCATTTCCCCAAGGTGGCGGTGGGGACACAGGGTGGGGAGGTCCCAGCGAAGCGGGGGAACTGCTTCAGAAGCTATCTGTGACATGGTTAGTTTGCGAGCTGGTGAAAGTTAGCTGTCTGCTATAAAATCCAAAGGTTTCATCTGATATTCAAAAGGAACTCTCAGTCAGCTGCAGAGTGGGTGATAAAGGACCAAAGTCCGAGATGTAAGTTTGCCTCTCAGTCCACACTCCTACAACCCTTCACAGTCAGGAAGTGGCCATCAGCCTCCAGCATCGCCAGCACAGCCACTTTGTTAGGCAACATTCATTCATAAACTGGTTGGTTTCTTTTTGGTTAGTACACTCGTGTCAGGCCGCTAACAACCACCTCTGACCTCCAGCTCCAGAGGATCTGATGCCTCTCACCTATCCCGGCAGCTGCGCGCACATGAACAAACCTAAGCACACACACAATTAAAGATAAAGGCAAACCCTCAATATTTACCAAATGTGAAGTCAGAAGTTACATCCCATGGGGATGAGTATCTGCTATTAGGAATACCTGGAACCTGTGACACACTCAGAGTCACAGCCTATTTAAATTCACACACACACACACACACACACACACAAAGAAGCTTCTTTGGTGTACTACTTAGCTACAGAGCCAAATTTATATGCCACCAGTTGGAATAAATCATAGTGGTTGAAAGTCATGGTCTGCTTAAATTTACACAAAAAAGAAGCTTCTTTGGTGTACTACCTAGCTACAGAACCAAATTTATATGTCACCAGTTTAAATAAAATATAGTGTTGGCTTTACATTTAGAGCATAGCTGGACTATGTTTGAGAAGAAAGTACAAGCATCCCATTGATGTACACTTGGTGTGACTAAGTCTTTCGTGATCACCACACATCAACAGGACAAAATAATTTCCCAAGGTGCTCTGGGAATGAGTGAATAAGAGGAAACGCTGGAAATTCAAATGATGTTTCCTTGCACTGTTTTAAACACAGGCAACAAAGATAAAGAGCCACATGGCCGTAATTTCATGAAGCCGGCTCCTCACAGATAGGTGCTGGGACTGCTCCATTCATACCGACAGCTCTGGGGTTATAGGAGGCTGGCCACTTACAACCATACACCCTTAACATCTTAAAGAAATTAGGAAGCAAATTGATAAACGGAAATGAACTTATTTACAGTTTGGCCAAACCTGGGAGAAAAGGACTCTGAGTTTCTCTCTTTGTAGAGCAGGCTGACTGTTTTATGGAAATGGTAAGACAAAAGCCGAGAATAAACATGCTATTGAGTTTTCAGAGCTGTGTGCAATCTCTGCCTAACACCAAGGCTTCAGCTTTTCCCTCTACCTAGTGTGGGATTCCTAGGGGAATCTGAGTTCTTCGGTCATTGTTCAATAGCTTGATAGTGGAAGGAAGAGCAGCCTACTCCCCTCCTTCTGCATGACATAGAACACATGCAGTTTTTTACATTATTTTTTCTGTTTAATAAAATGTTTATTTAGGATGTTAACACAAGGTAGGCCATGCAAGAGCCCAGTTTTTTTTTAAAAAAAAAAAAAAAAAAACTAAAAAGAGTGTAAGGAATGACAGTTGGTGTTGCCAATTAAAAAGATTGCCAATCATTTTATCACCAAAAGCGCAAATGAAAATATTTGAATCTGACATGGTTGCAGTGACCCTTCGAATTTGCGACTGAAAGTAACAAGTAGTCATTTGTGTCCCATTCCTCAGAGAAGCAGAGTGCTCGTCCAAATAGCCATCACCCCCCACCACCCACTCTCAGTATGCAGAAGGCAGGAGGCTCAGAACCTCCGGGTGTGGTGGGCTCTTCACACCTTCTGGACAAACTTAAGCTGCCACATCTCAACAGGGATGCAGGGTGAGTGTTTGGTGAGCATCAGCTGACACTGTTTCCACTGGGAACCTGATGTGTTGATAATGAAAACTCTAGGCCTTGCCAGCCACTCTCGCGGACCTGAAGTGTGGTGTTTTGACATCTGGGGAAGGATTTTCAGGGCAATGAGGACTGATTTGAGCAAAAACACCAATGGAACACGGTGTCTCAGATTTCAGACAAACACAACTCATCTTTTGGCAAAAAATAAAATAAATAGCATGGCAATTTGACAGATGTTTGAATAACCTACCAAGTCTTGAGTATAATTTCATTGTAGACACAAAGAAGCAACCATCTCAACGAAATTTCAAAAAATAAAAAAGGTTTGTACTTATTTTATACAAAACTTTCACTTTTGGAACTGCCCCAGTTCATCTACATATTGAATTTATTAACACAGCATTAATTTTCTTTGTATTAAAAAAAAGACTCTTTGTACATAGTAATACAAAAGCTAAGGCAGGATGCAGTGGACAGAGCCTCCTGGTGCCTTCCTCTGCATCCCCGCAGACAGCAGCTGCAACAGGAGCCACCTCTGCTCCCCCCCCCCCCCCCCCACTGAGCATCCATGCTCTCGCTGTGGTGAGAATCCTGTCCGAGCACCCTGAAGGACAGAGGCTGCTCGTGGTCTTTGGCACTTACACTGGCAGACTGAGTTTCTTTCCCTTGAGTTCTTTTGTAATGTATAAGTAATAGAAGTCACAGTAGAGAATGGGCTGGACGCCCCGGCCACCACAGCAATGAGATCAAAGAGACCCTCGTAGCAGAAGCGCCAGATCCAGTGGACGAGGTACAGAGCACAGGAGAGGCTCAGGAAGAGGTAGTGGTGATGGTCTCAGCCTCGCCGGTCTTGTTGATAAAGAGCTGTGGAAGGATGGCCACTGACTCCAGGCAGATGGAGAAGGTCCATAAGGACTCAAGAGGAGAGAAGTCATGATTGACTAGAAATGAGAGGCCTCCCACGGGAACCACAGAAACTCCACTTGGAGGGTATCGTGATTTCCATCTTAGGGGGCCTTAAATTTCATGTAGATCAGGTACAACGTGGCACAGGAACAAGCAATGGAGATAAGCTTCCTAGATGTGTTATAGAGTGAAATGGATGAAGTAAAAAGATCCGGGCAATGCAAACAGAAGCTGGCTTTTCCCAGAAATACCCGCACAGGAGCGCGTCTTCCAGATCTTCAGCAGTAGGATGACGATGGCCGCCAGGTGGGACACGTCCCCAGTCGGCCGGAAGATGTTCAGGGCGGTGGTGGTCAGCGCGGTGGTGGTCAGCGCGGCGGCCTCAAGGCTTGGCAGCGCCTCAGGTCGCGGTAACAGCCCTGAGAGAGGAAGCGACAAAAGATCAGTTTTTTTACATTACTTTTTACAGTACGTGTTGTACACATGTAGCAAATCTGTAGAAGTCAGAGAACAATTTACAGGAGTCGGTTTTCTCCTTAAATCATCTGGGTTCTAGGGATCAAACTCAGGTGATCCGGCTTGGTGCAAGTGCATTTACTCCCTAAACCACCTCTCTGGTCCCAACACACGCACACTTTTGTTGAGTGGTTACAAAAATGAAAACCATCGCCTCTAGGCCATTGTTTCTCAACCTGTAGGGGTCGCATATC